GCTATGCTATAATAATTTAGTATTACCCCAGAATCTCCTGTATCGAGCAAACCGATAAAGCTATAATAAAGTTCTCTCCATGGGATCGCCCGTGCACTCATTGGTCGGAGGACACCGATCTCATTGGGAACCGATAAACCGTACTCGGCTACCGTATAAACCCTCCCGACCTTAACTTTAGTAACTCGGTAGCGCCCCTTTTTTCACTTTCACATTCTACCGTATCCATTGCGCTTGTGGGTATTAATAAAAATAAAAAATTCCCGGAGGCTGTTGAGACCAGTCCAGGCAACTGCGATGAATGACGAATAATCCTGCAGAACTCACCTCTACGGCTATAGGCCGACAACTCCAAAGGGGGAAGGGGGGGGGGGGGGGGGGTGGAGAGGGGTACGGTAGCGTTGCTGGGCACTTAGCCCACGGTACCACCTAAAGATCGCCAATAGATAAAGTACCTCCCCAAAAGTGTTGGTGAAATGGGCTTTTTACACCAAAAACATTGATCTTTCACCACTGGTAGTTTAGGAACCACAAAAGATTTTACAACCCGACTCCCAGTATGTAGTTACAATAATCCCACCCTACTCCTACTCAACTCTTAATAACTTTGGGGAAGAATTGGAGAAGTTATGCAGTCCTAAAGTTTTGACTTCACAGAAAAGCTTCATTTTACATACAAAAATGGCATAGCAACGGGTATTGTCAACTTTGGAGACTTGTAGTTTAGCCTCATAGAATAAATTGACAAAATAAATGATGTCAGGTAAAAGCTGCAGTGAAGGTGAAAATAATTATATGGGTTGCAAGGATTATTTCAAGCAATTCTAGGTGTGGGGGTTGATCAAACCTGCCAAATTTTGGTGTAAAAAGGTCATTTCACCAACACTTTTGGAGAGGTACTTTAGTAGGACCCCGAAATCATGCAACTCATCACAGCACCGGTGAATTTGATATTCTAAGCGTACTATCGGCATAGTTCACCAGTACCGTAGGCATAGTTGGGTGATGATGCGAAGTGATTTGATTTGCAGCCCATCCATATCTACCGGCATAACCCGCGTTTCCGCACGTCGAGGTTCCAAGCCCTAAAAAAACGATGAGTTACCGGAACCTAGCGCGCGGTGCGCTGGGGGCGCCTCCTACGGCGCACGAGGAAGGACCGGCCAAGGGTTGTGTGCGTTCTGGCGCTGCGAACCAGCGCCTTCGGCCTGAGCACGTATCCCGATACCGGTACCGGTACATCGTTCCGAATGATTCAGAATCCTACGGTAAAGGCGTTGAAGCGAGGGCTTTGAATACGATGCAGCGGTGCTGGGTTACACGGGAGTTCTGGCGCCCATGAGCAGAGAATACTTGTAAGCAAATCTGGTACTAATTATAGGTACATTTAGGAAGCGAAATTTAGGATCACGCTTCTCTCCTTCTCTTTGTATCATACGTAGCTTACGCCCCAAGCGGGAGCGGGAGAAGAAGAAGAAAAAAAAGGTGGACGGATGGCAAATAAGTTAACCCAGATATCGACCCCCCCTATTTCTGAGCGACAAGCAGCCCAGATGACATGTCCAAGATCCCCACGAAGGAAACTTGGGAAAACCTTCTGACCCTTCCGGTGAGCCGTTTTGTTTAAAGCCCAAGTGCTCTTTCGCCATGTCACGCAATAAAAAAAAAACACTATTTTTTTGGAAATGGGATATATCCTAAATCAAGATGGTAGTTATTACAAGTAATAATAGATTCTCCAACAAACTATACCGGTAGGTGTCTAGCATGGGCCGGGGTGGGGGGGGAGAGACTGGGGAAAAAAGAAAAAAAAAACTAAATGGCAGGTAGAACTTCGAGGGTTACCAGGATTGAAATAGGAATTCGTTTGGCGTCTAGTAAAGTGAGCAGGTGGAGGATTGAGTTGAGAAAATCACCTACTGTAATTCAGCCCCTTAGCTTATGGTATATTTTTAAGTTGTCCCCCGATAATTATTCCAAGAGCGGGTGCTATTTTGCGGGGGTCAGGTTACTCCCCTCGTGGATTGGAAAAAATTCAATCCCTGGTAAACGGCCGGTCCCCGAGAAACTTGCAGGTTTTCTTCCTGTGATGCTGCAGACACATTCTCGTTGGTTAGTTTTTTCCCTTTCTCTCTTAAGGTTCTGTTTGGTTTACACAGGGCCGTATATACCAACAATAATACAGTGCAATATTCTGGGTTCGAAAATATGGCAATATACTTCTACTGGTATAACACTACGAACCAGAGCCTTAGAGTGCCATATATGAGGGGTGGATACGGCGAACGTAGGATCATATCAGATTAATGTACAATTTCCTATGGGGATATATGCCATCACCATCTCACTCAACATGAATCACAAAAACCACGAATCGCCCATGCAACAAACAAATCTCCCATTTTCTTATCCTTCCCTTTCTCACAGCTCAGGCTTCCGAACATTAGCGAAAGCTCCCCAGTTCCTCATTCCACGGCCGGGTACCCCTGGTGGTTCCTGGATCTCTGGAAATGACCTCACCGCGCCCAATCCCTCCATGTAAGCGACGAACGACAGTGCAATGATTCAAAGGCTATCTCAAGTCACAGCATCTGGCATTTCATAGTCGTGGAAATAACACCCAGAGTGTGATGGCACTCATACTTCCTAGGCATAATCTACACTCGATCCACCACGACATCTCCCAGCAACACGTGAAAACCACACCAAAACTCTGGAGGAGTGGCCATTCCGGTTTTACATGCTCTATATATGCCCTCTCATGGATTATTAGATAAATCCATAAACAAGTAACCAAAGATCCAAGTCCGGGCACTATTTCGCCAAGTGGGTTGGGGCTTGTCCAATGCAGGTGGGTACGGTAGGTGAAGATTACCGCAGTTATAAATTCAGTGCCAAAGAACCTGTAGATCCCCCCGGTCCCGCGGAAAGAGTGTGCTCAATCCGAAAACTACTGATTCCGCGTGTTTGCACGGAAGCGGAATCTACAGCATAACACCCAAGGTTGAAATGCGCTTCTCACAGAGAATGAATCTTAACTGTGGGATTCTGTGATACTTGAAGGTCAGGTCGCTGTGCAGTAAAGGGATGAAAAATGGCATTGTTGGCGGAGAACGAACAAGGGACAATGAGCAGTGCAGTGCATGGTATCACACTCAATCCAAGAGGTGTACGGGAAAAATTCTAACAAAAAGACCCCTTTTCACACTGCTCGAGTATTACCGTATAGTACCTCACCACCTCCTATGACACCAAAAAACCTGAACGTGAGAAACCCAACCACGAGACAGGCCAAGCGATAAAACATGAGTTTCCACACGCGTTTCACATCCCCGTTTACCCGACCAGCCGACCGATCCACTAAACCCTCGAACTCCTGAGAGAACCAGACCGTAGCTAACACTAATGATACAACAACACAACAAAAACACTGCGCAACGCAGACACCGCAAAGCATAGACCATCCGTGGCACGAAGAGCACATGTCTACGGGGAGCAGAGAACTCCAGGCCCAAGAAGCCAGCATGACAGGAAAGGACCAGATGAATGGGTTTCGGAGTCTGCCGAATCGCGAGCTAAAGATGTAGTACGGTGCAGTATTGTAAAGTACAGTATGCGACGCGGCGGTTAACACTTATATAATATCCCGGCATAGGATATAGACTGTCTCACGAACCATGATGATCGCCCGTTGGGCTAGGGTTACTGGGAACCGGGTCAGGGAGTCAGCTAAAATTCCCATCGCAGAGAATACAAGTATACCTGTACCGGTAACCGACGAATTTCAAAGCCGGCGACTTCTCCGGATCGTTACAATAAGGTCACAGAGCACCGTGCTCGTGCTCACATACACCAACGTCGTCCGTGGGATCCCGCGAGCCCAGCCATACCGTAGCGCGTCCAAAAGCTTGTTTCAACTGCATTATTCGGGAATTATTATAGATTGTGTGTTAGCTGCTACCAACTTAGTATCCGGGGCTGAGTGCGCTTGCACTAGCCAGCTAACTTATCTGCCTTCGATGCCTCGCCCGTTTCTGACTGTGGAAGCTGAATTCTCTGTGCTAGTACTAGTGCTGTACCGGGATGGTCACCGTACCTGACAAGTATTAATCAACGTAGCTTACCATTGGCTGGCTGGCATGGCATGGCTCGGGGCTATATATATTGTGGGATAAGGAGAGTGTGGTATGTCCTGTGACTGGTTGTTGCCTGTTCCTGTTTACTAGAATATACCTACCTACACCTACCTACCTACCTGTAGTCTCGGGTGATGAATCGGGGAAGTGTAGACCGCGGATGGTTTTGTAAGATCCAATTTCGAGATTTGATGAAACATCTACTGCCCGGCTGAATTGGGGATTACTCTCGTGTCGCGTCGACGGTTGGGAGTGGGTTGGCTGGCTGGCTGGCTGCGGCATCACACCGGGTGCGGGGTGCTGTGGTAATGATGATGAGGAGATGTGAAGTAAATTACGCGAACGCCATAACTTGTAATACTCCGGTCAGTGCGGTACCGTTTCAGAGGGTCTTATAACCCGGGTATTCTGCCAGGAGTCAATATGGAGCAGGCACAAGCCCAAAATGGTCACAAATGTCTACGAGAGAAATAGTATTTGATGATTTTTTTTTTTCCTTAAAAAAAAAAAAACAATCTTGAAGCTAAAGAGGTCGAGGAAATGAACCCTCCTACCCCGACAGAAGGAGAGACCTGCAGCTCAACAAACAGGAACACCCTAACTTTGAAATGAAATAATAAGCGGAAACACCTGATAACTCCACCTAACAGCCCGGTCAAAATAATACGATTTACATAGAGCGCGGAAATGAAGTCAAGGTAGAAGTGCCAGAATCCATCGGAAGATCATCAGAGCTAGATAGCTGATTCTCCGGCACCGGCGAGAGATGCTTTTGGCTTTCCATATCGGATCCCTTCGTTTCAATGACGCTCTTGGCCGTGGTCAACAAGTCCGGATTCGTCGAAATGTGTCGAACATCCCTCCGACTCGGCAGGTGCGGCTTCTTCTTTCCCCGGAAAAACACTCGGAGCGATGGTGAGCAGACGGCCAACAACGATGTCGTGATCTCGACCATAGCCGATACATCGATCGTATGGGTTACGCTGGCCTTGGGCTGGCCCCAAACCACTCTCAGAGCGGCATATCGAACGAGGGCGGCGACGATCGAAATGCTACCGATGAACAGGATGAACATCCACCCCCAAAGAGCGGACTTCCGAAAGGTGAGGTTTTTTAGAACCAATATGGGGAGCATTATGACTATCAAAATTGATAATGTCAGTGCCCGGCGGTTAGACATTGAAATGTCATTGGAGGAGGGGAGAGTCTGCAAAGCATAAGGCTGATAAATACAACGGGTGGGGTGGGGAGCGCGAGCTTACTTAGGAGATCTGTGCCGACATTGGTAAAAGTTGAGATGGTTACACTGTCCATGTCGTGCACGGCCGAGCACAAGTGGCCATTAATATCCCTGCATCCGAGGGCATCAGCCATCACATCCTAAAACTGGCGTGGTGGGGGCAAGCGGAAGCGCTAATTACCAATTCAAACTGACAGGTCGACACCAGAATTGTAGGAGAAGCATGTGGAGCAGGAATGTCAGGAAGGTGATTACTGAGACAATCACGCCCGCAACCTTGCAGCGCTTGCCGAGTTGGTGATCCCTGTTGAAGAGTTCAAAGTAGAAGGCGATGAAACCACCTTTCGCGAACCAGAGGGAGATGTAGATGAAGAATAGCGATACCCAGGAAACCTGACATCACGAGAACCGAGGTCAGTGGGTGGTAAGCCCCGCAAATGGATGGGTAGTGTGATGGGGATGGTACCTTCAAAAGGTGGGCAGAGAGATGCTTCGGAACGCCATAGTACAGATCCGGCTGTCCTCTGAACTTCATTCGCAGCGCGTTCTTCCAGGTATTGATACCGATAAAGGCGATGGCGGAAATATACGAACAGATGACACACACGTCGGAAATCAGTGAAGCTGTCGACCACGATCCAGCCCGTCTCCACATCCGTTCCCAGATCCGGAGGAAGACGAATATCGACGTGAGGAAGAGCAGAACCCAGTCAAGGGTGATGAACCCTTCGAGGGGTAGATGGATATCGCCCATGTTTCCTGTCTGGTCGGTTTGTTCGAGATTTGGAATGATATGCAAACTTAGCGGATCGAAGCTTCGAAAAAAATTGGGGAACCAGAAACCAGGGCGCTGGGAGGTACCCCATATATAATCAGCCGGGAGAGAGTAGCGAATGTTGAGGAGGGGGGGGCTATCCACATAAGCTTGACTCTGTGGTACGGTACGGTACCGGTAGACCTATTCTTCTCGAATCACCGTACAAACCAATTACGGTAGTCGTGGAGAGAAAAAAAGAAAGAAATGCGGCATGCCCTCGCAGCGCGGTGACAGAGGAACAAGTGGATCGTCCTCACCATCACCTCGCAATTGCTATTTTTTCCCAAGAGGCTGAGGTTTGGAGAACTCCGTTCCGCCGTACCCCTACCGCCCGCCCACTACCCAATCCAGCACAGGCTTGAGTGAGCGGAGGAGGGATGAACGGATGGCGAGAATAGGCCACAGTGTGGGTGGCAGGTAAGCATAAACTGCTGAGACAGTCGAAGCGATAACGGTCCCTTTGCCCCAAGCGCTTCCCGAAGGAAAAGAAAAGAAGAAGAAAAAAGGAAGAGTCTGGAGCCAAAAACATCACTTTTACGGAAAGCGCCGAAACGAGCCCTCTTCCCGCACGACTGTGAGAGCAGTGTACTATGTACTGTACTCGAGTACCCATACTGTACAGTACCGTACCAGCACTGGTGCTCCAGAATAATCCCCCCGGGAAAGGGGAGAAGGGACGGCATCCTGCCCTACTTCTTCTCGTCGACCCCAAATTTCTCAGCTGCCGCGTTACGATATAGCGTATCGCTGTGGCTGAAATGAGTGTCATGCCCAGTAAATGAGTTTGCATGTATCTCACCCATACTTCAGTCTTGTTGGGCGGGATAACTGATTGAGAGAGACGCACAGAAAAGAAGGAATGAAAGAAAAAACACTTCCATCGATCCCTTTAACGCCCTAAGATTCTCTTCTTCTTCTTCTTCTTCTTCTTCTTCTTCTTCTTCTCTTCTGATTCCTTATTTACACATGCGATGCAGAAGTTACCCACCCATGCGGTAGTCGTAGCACCGCAGGATGACACACCACTCGTTCCCTCGCTAGCTGAGCACCCACCCCCAACGGACAAATGCTTTCGTTCCCTTGCTTGGCTGGACATGCGGAGACGCCCCCCATTGGACGAAGATTCGCTAACGAGTGAGAATCAATGCAAGTGATTCCCAGCGTCTTGCTTCAGCAAGGGGTGGGAGGGTGGGGGACGAACAATGGTACTTGGAGCCCTAGCAAGTCTTTTTTTAAACGGAGCTGTCGATTACCCCGTTGAATCCGGTACTCACCTAACCGTTTGTTGTTGACCCGACGGGTCCTTGCCCTTGATTGAAGGATCGTTACCATTGCTACCTAGCTTTCTCTCTTCCGACGGAGGAAATTGAAAAGGATCTCGGCTTCAGCTTCAGCTATCATAGCTTTGCCGCTCGTGTAATGTCTGGCTGGTTGGGACATGACCTCCATTGAAATTTGACACATTCTGAACGTTACACAATCCTGAAGTAACTTGGCTCTCGAAGCCGCAAACTCTCGCATAAGTCTACAGTAACGCTGGGGATATTGTGTATCCATTCATCCAACCACCTAGAATAACTATCGCGAAGGAAGAAAAAAACAGAAAAAAAAAAAAACAATCAGTCAAAACTTACCGGGAGGAAGGTGTTTTCTTTTTTCGTGAGGAAACGTTCCACCCCAAACCACTACTCGCCATTGCGAGACATTTGCGGTCTGGGGGAGAGAGGGTTGAAGGGCGGCTCATACCGTATTGTACCATACGTACATATCTTGAGGGTGGTGGTGGGGGCCTTTGTAAATATGATTTATGGGAGCTTGTAGTGGGAGCGTTCATGTGAAGATGTATTGTTTTTCCTTCTTGTTGCATGGTGGTCTGAGGAGGAGGAGCAGGAGGAGGAGCAGGAGGGAGGGGGTGGAAAATTCCCCAGCATTGGACATGGGGACTTGCGTTTGGGGGTTTTGCTTCCTTCGATCCGATGCTGTGGTTCTGCAAGTATCGACAGAGTCAAAGCCTGCTTCCTATGGATTTGATATTCTACCAGGAAAAGATAAGGCGTTTCCGGTATGTGGGTGTACGGTACTGTACTCGTACTGGGGGTGGGGGGCCTCCATTTCAGTAAAGCACGAGTACTGTTCAGGGTCAGCTGCATCACAAGAATACGATACGGTATCAACTCGAGATGTGCATTGAATCCTTGGTACCTACTAGGTATCATATCAAACCAGCACAATATTATGTTTGCAAGTGTCGGCGAGTTGAAAAGACCCTTCTTGTTCCTTGTGAATCGTTGGGTGTTTGTACTGTACCTACCGGTGGTCTACTCGCAGTAGGGTACTATCCCTCGGTCGATCTAAAACTGTCAAATCCGTAGTCGGGCACGCTGGGGCCAGATTTGGCGGCGGTTAGCTGAACTCGGCCAGAAAATCTAATTGTGAGCCCTTCCAGTGCTTGAATGACTCAGCGCGCCCTCCTAGCGAGTCTGAATATTCTCGACAAACCGCGAGGCTTGGTCGGTTCCGGCACAGGCTTACGCTGCCAATCTGACGGTGCCAGGCCGATCGAGGGATAACCATACGACGCAGGTACTCGAGTGCCCTACGGGCGATAGCTCAGCGGTACCACGCCTAGATTGGCCTGCTCGGAACTCGACTTCTCTCCACCTTTCTCTGTCATGGTAAACCCTCCCTCCCACCCAGGTTCGTGGCGGGGTATTGGTGTAGCCGGCCTCGGGAATCACGGCGCTTGGATAGTCTACTCTCCGATATCGTCTGGGGAAAACTTTCCCGGCCATGCGTACCCGAAAACAGGGATCAAAGAAATGTACAAGTATGGTGAAATATTTGCGAGTATCCGAGTGCACATTCAAAATTTGCCTCCCCTGTTTTCGGGTGCTTATGGCCTGGGACCAGTACCATACTCGTACATACAGTGTTACCGTGTTACGACGAGGGGATGCTGGACCGGGGTGTTGAATCAACCAGGTGGTTGAGGAACACATAATTTCAGAACCGGCTAGCTCGGCTTTTTGCAGAAGGGATATATCTTGGGCATTGGACTGCGAGGGGGTGGAGGAATGTTTGATCGATCGAAGAGCATTGCTAGGATTTGGGTTCATGGAATGGTGGTGTTATGCTGTTAGGCACTCTAGGAACACGGATGCTAGCGCGAAGCCACACTAATGGTATAACATTGTAAAACCATCGTAGTGCGGGAGAGTAACTCGTCCCCGGATTTTCTCCTACCGCTTACCCCGTGAAATGGCCTCTATAGGAGCTATGGTATTACACACGGTACTTGAGTGAGTATGGTAGATCATCTCCCAAGCTCGGCCTCCAATCTTGTCAATCACTCCACTTCCGCCTCCTTTTTTCCTCTACTTACTCGGCCCCTTTCCACTCCAGCTCCCCTTGCCGGTCCCAAACTATACCGAACCCCACTATACTTGTGCCATCGCCAACCACAAATCCTTTCCCGTATCTCTCCCCTTTCTCTTGACACCTGCCTTACAGGTGAACCGAATCCATCTACCGTTATCTTCCCTTCCCCCCTCCCTCCCCCTCCGGATCCCGAAATCCAGAACAGGAAATACTTTCCACCCAACAGCCAATCCCATCTCCCTCACGCTGTCCGACTAAACCTCTCTTGCACACGGGAGTTTCATCGCGGCCCGTGGTCTCGGTAACGATTGGGGAATATGGCGTCTGCCATTGGCTCGTTTAATCGATCACAAATCACGTGTAAATCAGCTGCTGGGCTGGGTGTGGGGCGCACCATCCATTCCTGATATGGTGCGGCGCAGGTTTTCTTGTTATTATTATGCGCCTGCTGTATCAGATTCGTGGGGGAACGGGGAGAGGGAAATGCGTTATCATAATTCCCTCGAGGAGGGAAGGGCAGCTTTTCTTTCTTTTGTGCTCTTGTTCTGACGTATGTTCTAGCTTTAACGCCTGTGGCGTTAGGGTCGGTGAGCTTCGTTCCTTCCTTCCTTTTCTACTTTGGCTCCCCCTCTGATTGTTACTATTTACGCTCGATCCGGGATTCCGATATTTGAAGTCTGACACGAGCTAGCCCGGTTGGGCAGCTGTGTTAGTTAGCAAAGTTAGTATGCAGGCAGGCAAGTAGGTAAGCAAGTAAGTAAGACCTCTCCACGCCATCATTTTCGAATCGGGAAAACTGTGTATGGCATGTTAAGGGGGGGGGGGGGGTTGTGTACTGTATGGTGTGGTTGGTTGGTTTCTCCATACGGGGTTGAAAGCGCATACGGGTTCCCGATCAAAGCTATCCGCATGTACGGTTTACTGGCAAGCTCCGTACCGTAGTACCTCATGATATTTGATGGTTTCGCTTTACAACTGCCGAGAGGGTATACCGGTAGTGATGTGTGACGTGACTTACTCGGGCCAGCGAGCAGATAGGATGAAGTCAAATGAAACGAACTTTGAAATCTGCGGTTGGGGTGCGAGTCTCAGATCGTTGGAAAGCTCGGATAGTCGATGGACTTCTCTTGCTCGAGGGCTCCTCGTCGGCCCTGTGCGTGTATTGAGTGATAGTCATTCATCATCACTCGTACAGGCAGTGCAATGCAGCGGAGGGCGGGGAAATGTGTGGGAGGTTGACGCTAATCTTCCAGAAAGTGAAGAGCAAGGGTGAAGATCTCTGGCGTTGTGGTTTCCCACTTTTACTGAAGTTCTCGGGTGATCTGGGTTGGGTTCCGCATCAGAGACATGATGTTCTAGGGAAACTGAGTTAGGATAAGACAGCATACGTAAGCCTATCACCACGGTAAGGGCGGTGGTGGGGGGTCACTACCTGCAAGCGCCCTCGTTTTTCTTCCTCCCTTTCTTTGTTTCTTCTCGGTTGATCACTTCCGCACTTTCGCGACGGGAAAATAGACTGCACCTCCCAATCGCTAGGCGTGTGTTGTCTCCGGCTCTCCCAGTGTTTGCAGTAGGTTCGGAACCTACTTCTCCCTAACTCTCCTATTCCTCTCTCTATCCTGATTCCGTTGCCCGCCCAAAGGAGGAGAGAAACGGGACTGGTTAGGGCTAACTCCTGTGGCTCCTCAAGTCGGCACATGAAGCTATAGGTATGGTCCTTAGACCCTTAGCCCGGGTTTTGGAACCAGGGGGAGCTTGATGTAAAAGGGATTTTGGCACTGAACCTTGATGGGTTCCTGGGCTCTTGCATGGGAAAAACAGTCTTAGTGACGGGGTCTCTATCTGCTCTGGAGTAACCCGGAGGTAGGAATGCACACTTTATCACTCGTCAGTGACTCTGTCAGTTCCCGTAGAGAGGGGGGGGGGTCTCAACATGAAACTTGTTCCACTTTCTCGGAGTGGAGAGTTTGTCTACTGTGGTGCTTGTACAGTACTCGCGTACTTGTGCCTCTTGAGCAAAAAAGAAAAGGTCTACAAGAGGATTCACGATTGGATTCGGTTTTCAAGAAAGGGTATCTCATATTGTCCAGCAATAGCTTTTTTTTTCAAGTTCGCCCATGTATTCAAGATAGTTCCCGCATCCCGTATCATAGGCCCCTAAAAGCTCTACGGATAAAAGAGCTCTCGCGGTAAAAGAAAAGGGAAACAAAAACCAATCATAGCATCCAATTATTATGCGAAAATCACAACAAGACACCACTCCAAGTACGAATATAAACGCACAATCACTATCAAGATGGGGCTTCGAACTTTCTTCTGCTTTGGTCGGAAAAAGAAAGGCGAGAAAGAGATACAAGGACGCCCTGCAGCAGCACTAATGAATATTAGCTATCCAATTCACGTGCGAACCACTAATCCGATCGGAAACCAATACCTGCAGTACTATTCGGTGCCGTCAAAGCCGCTAAGGAGGGCGACCAATGAGAGCCGGCGAGGGGGAAGAGAAGTAGGAAGAATGGGAAGCAAGGGGGGTAGGGAACGAAAAAGAAGGTCAGACATGAGCTTTTCATGTGTCGGCTCTGAAGATTCTCCCCCCCCACCACCAGCACCACCACCGCCGCCTCCGCTTTCCAAGCGATATACAGATTATGCGAGAGAGAGTCACCTATCGATACTAGCGCCGACAGATTGGGATGAGTGGGTTCCTCCGCCGGGAGTCCAGTTGAAAACAGACGTTATATGCTTTTCTTGCAGGAAGGCGCCAGGAAGGGATGATATTGGTCTCTGTAAGAATTGTAAGCGATTGCCCCCCCTTACTCCTCCTCCTCCTCCCCTTCACTCTCCTCCCCCTCCTCCTCCATCCTCTCTTACTCCCCATCTATTCACTTTCCGCAATAACAACCCTTGCACAAACCAACCCGAATTTCAAGAATTGCTATCTAACAAACCCTCACACTCGATAGGCTCCCCAATACTCTCTAATCCGCGTCCTCGAGACTCTAGATTTACCCTATCAAATTATGCTAGGGACTCGTTTTGCGGGATCAATCCCTATAGACCTATTAGCCAATATGGGAGTATAATCTTTGAAGAAGACGAGGCCATGGAAGACGACGGCGATAGTGATGATGGCATCGATTTTAGCGATGCATATTACGCTATCATGTACGAGGAGTGGCGGGAGCAAGAAGAGCTGAAGGTCCGGCGAGAGGAGAAGATGAGGAAGAGAAGGGCTGATAAGCGGCCGGGAAGGAATGGGATGGGAACATAGCACACCGTCGGGTACGGCTTTGCGGGTAGATCTTCTCAGGCTTGATCTATGCTGGAGATATTATTTGAGGCAGGCTGGTAAGTAGTTAGGTGTGAGGTGAATCACTCCTAGAGACTCTCTCTCGTTTTGGTGCGTTTAAATGCCTATAGCGATGTCGGGAAGTTCTGGGCACCTCCTATTACCGCACCTTCTGTAAGCCTAACCTCTGCCTCTTCTCCCTCATATATTTAACAATGTCATGTATATATAAATATTAGAATACAACTTCCACCCATAGGTCGAGGTTTTTTTCTTCTTTTCCCCCAAATCTACAACAACTACGATACATTTCAACCCTTGAAAACCACCTAACTTACCCGCTTTATGAAAACCCTTCCGATAGAAATCCCACAATATCAATTATCGTATCAATCACATCAGCGAACCACCCGAGCGAACAGTAGTGGAACAATTTTCCCTTGCTTGCTCTGATCTGATAATCCGGATCGGGAACATCACCCGACTTTTTTTTTCTCGAATCTCCCGATGACCCCTGCCTGCTCCATGCAGAATCCCAGAACGCGGGCACTTTTGTAATAGCAAAACCAAGGCCGTAAACAACAACAACCCGCCAACATACAGTATCTTTCCCCCACACTCAAGAAAACGAGTCACCCCTCCGTAGCCAAAAGGAAACAACAACCATCATTTATCATCATATCTAATATGTACCAATCCGCTCGAGAGTGGTCCGCATACCGAAAACTGTCCAATCTGTCCGGCTGAATTATCGTCTCGGCCACACGAACTGCTTCCAAGCGTTTTGGAGAACAGCCAACCCCGCTCTCCGATTAGTGCGGTATCTAAAAATAGAGACTTCACTTGGCGCTGGGTATACCGTATGTTGGTGCTCTCGTTCCCCGCGCTGGGATGTGATGGCGGGAATAGACTGTGTTGGCTATAACGGATGAACGGGAAAAAAACAAACACTTTTCTTTCTTCTTCTTGGCGCCGAGATTTTTCTCTATTTCTGGATAAGCCTACCGTACAGTACTGTACTCGTAGGATTGGAGTATTACTATTGCATGTACCCGTAGGTGGTGCAGCATTTCCCACGTCTCGCGCCGAAAACAGTGGACACAAGATTCGGGTGTTCTTATTCTCGAGTGACGGTTCGTGATGACTCCGATGATAATCTAGAGCATCATATCATAACTCTCCAGCCGATATCAATATTATCTGGGAAATTCCCTATCATACAAAGAGTAAAAAAACGTAAGAAAGATGGCAGGAGAGCGGTCCTTGTATGATTAGCAATCCGCAACTGGATATTTAATTTAACAAGCGGGAACTACAATAGTGCGATTGGTTTTTGCGAAACAGGATGACATGACACAGTACCCCCCCCCCCCTGTTCTTTATTCGCGACACTGGTTAACGCTGACCGATTTTCCCAGAACGAGAGAAGAAGGCGGGATGTTTTTACACTCGGTCGCCGGTAAAGTTGCGTTGCATTCGTTTCCCAATTAACTTCTTAGTAATACCTATTCCGGGGGGAAAACGGCGTTAGCCAGGGTGCCAAGCCCGATCGACGATATCTCGCTGAAACGGCTCGCTAATTGGACCCGAGATCTGGGCAATGGCGGGAATAAAAATAGCTAAAACATCGAACGGAGAAAAAAAACGAAGGAAAGTTCTGTGATGGGTTGGCCTAAGCCTAAAGAGGAATAGTAGAAGAAGGAGAGAATAAAAATAAGGTACCCGGGACTGAAGAGAACATGGGAATTGGTGCCTGGATCGGTATTATCCTGGATTTCTTTCTTCCTCTGTGTCTGGTTCACTCCACTATGGTGCACTCACAGCCATCCTCTACCTTTACCCTGTCCGGAACCGCTGCTCTATTTCTGGATCAATCTCGGGAGGAACTTGATCCTCTGTCTGGCATCTTAGGTGTCCGACTATTGCTACGGTGGCGGTAGGCATATCTGTGAGCACTCCTGAGCATGACCTACCGGTTCCCTTTCTGCCTCTATTATTCTCTGAAGTGTGCGACTGGTGTAGTGGCCTACAGGATTCGACTGCACTAGTACGGTAGTCGAATATACACAAGTGCTTTGTATCGAGCAACTTTAGCAATTTCACTTTCCCGAGTCTCTCGGGTCCCTCTTGTCTTGTTCCTAGCGTTTTCTTGGTTTTATTTTTTTTCTTGGCATTTCAGTCCTGAATCTCGCCTATCTATTATTATTATTTTACAACTCTCTCGTTTGAATGAGCTCAATCCTTCTTCTTTTTCCTTATGGTGACACACTCCTCTACATATCTGGGTGAAGATGGGTTTCTGCATCGCAGAGACACTTCAGCCCTCTGCCAAGGAAGTAGCCGATGCCGTAGTTTGTGGTTATTTCCTCGAACATGGGAATATCTTTGGTGATGCGGTACACAGAGAGAATCTTGCCACGGCGGGCAACATGATCGATGGTGCAATTCGGATCACAGGCGTGGTTGACAAAGCGGGTCCAATTCCCTGAGAGCAAGATCAGCAATTACTTCCCGAAAAGATGAGGGTGGGGGGGAATTACCATAATGGTAAGAGGTTGTACTATAACAGTCCGTCGCGGGGCTATTTTTGTGCCCCCAAAGGACGTAAACGTCGTTCTCCTCTTCCGGCTGGTCATTAGATATCAACTCTCCAACGTACTCACCAATTATTTCTCCGGCTTTGAAGCTCTATCTTCTAAGTCAGAATCATACCGCATCACAATCAGATTGGGGGGGGGGGAAGTGAGAAATAGTAAGGAAAAAAAGTATACCTGCAATGCTCGAACTCCGGTACCTCTCCCACTAGTCCCGATCAGCTCAACCCTAGCCGGCGACCAATTCTCCAGGTTACAGCGACACTCCCCGGACGTCTTCCCGCAAGCTCCGCACGGCTGCGCAATGTTAAAAGCCCCATCCTTAAGCCTAGGATCAACTGCGAAGGCTTTCCCATCACGTCCTATCCTTGTGTGGTCTCCAACCTCGAACGCCTTATCATGCTCCTCCGCCTCTCTAGAGTTAGGATCATTCGGCACTCTCCAGTGATGATAATGCCCTTCATAGTCGATTCTCTCGAGCTCCGTTAGGACCTCATCCGTATCCGGAATCGCGTCGCTGAGGGCTGCGTACCAGTGGGTGTTGAAGGAGCCGAGTAGCTGGATACTCATAACGTTAGCTCTAACAAGTTTCATGAGCTCCCGCCAACGAGTGAGGTTAGCGGCGCGAGCAAAGTCCCGGAATCGCGGGGAGTGGAGGAGCACCGCGACGGTCTTCCACCCGCACTCTTGCGCCAGGCGCCAGTACCTAGACCAGACAACCGCGAGGGCGAATGCGCTGTAGTAGCGGACTTTGGGATCAGTAGTCTTCATGAAGCGACTCATTAGCATGCCCGCCCTCTCGTGGTTTCCGCTCACCACCGCTTCAGAATCACTTCTGGTGGGGGTACCTTCTGCCCCAACGGGCCGGAAGTTGAACCCCGAGGCGTGAACACTGGTCCAATAAGCGCCTACCAATTCCGACACCACGTTTTTGTGAGCGGAGTCACTCAGGTCGTCGAGTAGGAGGTCAGTCAGTGCCGTGAACGAATTTGAGACCTCTTGGGGCTGTCCTTCGAGGTGCCGGAGGGGTGGAGCTGTCCCATGGTCTGGCGCTGTGTAGTTCACCAGGTCGAAGAGGTCGCGGTAGATGACTTCCATGGTGTCTGTAATTGAGCTCACGACCCGCTGCTTCTTACGCTCTCTAATGTGGTTGGTCGGAGGGCGTTTGCGCTTTCTGGTATCCACGCCCGAAATTTCCGCCGGGAAGAGGCCGTTTTCCGGGAATGTCATTCTGATTTCAGACTTGAGCGTTGGTGAGTTCTTGGTTGGAGATCGCGCTTTTGAGTGGGTATGGACACGAGATACTGCAGTGGACTAGAGTTAAGAGGATGTGTGATTGGTAACTGGAACAACCAAGATATCAGGAAATCGCGCTGGATTTTATATTCTATGCCGGGGCCCTTTTTCAAGATATCATATCTAGGTATCGAGACTTTTAGATTTCTCACAAATTCTCACTCTAATCACTCTCCGGGAATATCGCGTTTGAATGTGATACAAGGATTACTATAGATTGCATCGTTACTTGTCACTACCCCAAAATCGTGGACCGGGGTAGACCCAGTGTCTCACTATGATGTCCGATTATCCTGGAATATTCTATGCCCCATTTGGTCATTGGTGGTGGTCCAACCATCATGTCTGACGGGTGAGCACTTGGCACTGACATGACGGGTTTTCACCCCTAACATCCACCACAACTAAAACTATGCACGGGTCACTGTTAGAGACTTGAATCACGATCTGATTATCACGTGCCTCGAAGAGGACCGGGTGATTCAAGAGATCTACAGAGAATGGCTACAATATTTTGAATTTGGCAACAAGGTTCCCAACACCAATAGGCCCCTTTACGACCAGCTGTACTCGTGCTGCAACCCACATCCCCATGCGGTATAGCCTAGCTGAACTCGGAATGAGCTTAGAACAGTCAAAATAAAATGCGGTTGAACGGGCTAGCCGGATTTGCAGGAGGGCTACCCCAGAGAGTTAGGAGTTGACGGCAGCTTGCCCCGGGATGCTTTTTCTGCCAAGCTTTTACACTATCGAGAGGAAGGGTCTTTTGAAGAGATCTATCTCACTCGCCCATTGGACTACGTTTTGTTTGACTGCCTGTACAAGAAGCGCCATCTGTGCTTAACCAAACAACCCGTTTCATATTGCCCAACTTCATGAAGACACGATAGCCCCGGATGCACTCCTGCCGGCCCTCCCTCCACCATCCTTCATTCACCCCGCCTCTGGAAGAGGAAAGGCTGGAAAAGCCTTACTAAAACCAGTTACCACACGGCATCCGACTCCCCCCACTCCCCACCGCTAAACTCCAAATCACCAGGAATCACTCTAATATTATCCTCCCTTTACCAAAGCGATTACGTACGACTACTGGTAACCAACACCAAATTACCCGCCTGAAGCAAGACCGATTCCCGATCTTATTCGAACACTGGACGGGATTCAAACCCGGACGGCAACCCCCTCCCACTCTTTTCGTTCTGAATAAATTATTGGGTTGAAGCGGAGGGGTTGTGTTAAGTGCCAAAGTGATTAATTGGGAGAGGAGAGAAAATTTGGGCTGAAGTCCCAGTCGAGTGGCCGTAGGCATGGGTGATCACTCGGGGACTCATGAGGGGAGGTGGGCTGTTGTCGGGGGGGGGGGGTGATTTGGGCTCTGGGTGGTGCTTAGTTGTCCTTTGTAAATGATGTGGCCATTACCGGTGCTCCAGGTGTGCTCCGGTGGGGCTGGGGAGATTGGGGGTGAACGGGTTGTGGGTGTGGTGTGGGTAGGTTGCCTCGGGGATGCTTGATTTCTGCCCAATGGGCACCTTTTTATGCTGTAGTCGCCCCATTTGCATTACCATGATATTCCGGACCTCATGGCTAGTCCCCTTTAGTTGGTGATTGGGCCCAATCCGGGCGGCCAGTACTGGTACTGCAGAGCCCCGGTGCTAGACTTATGCTTTTTTGTTGTGCTCCAAGGCGATTTCACCAGTTCGGAAGGGCTGATGAAACCCAAAGAGCACTAATGGGCAGACCAGTGAAAGTGTAAACACAATGGACTCAACGCGCAGCGACGGGATGAGAGATGGCGAACTGGGCTATCGATTGAGACTGGCCAGCGACAAGCTGGGAGATATATCTCCAAACCGATTAACAGCTCCAAAAACCAAGGAAACTCCACGAACACAAAGGAAACACACCATCCTGAAAAAGCATAGTCCACCGTGATTCTCCAATAATCTTGAACTCTATAGATATCTCATGTTCCGCCGTGGAACGTTGAATGAACTGCCGTATGCCTAACGGCGTAAGATGAAGAAAACAAAGCAAATCCCCCACACCTCTTATAATCTACAAGTATTTGGCTGTGTGTTGCCACACTGCTCTATAAGTTTTAAAAGTAGAATTAATATAATAGTCATTATAGATATTAAGATCATTCCACCAAGATCTATTACCATCATAACCTAGCCTATGAGAAACTAAAATATTATTGGTTATTTAATTATATATGGTAAATGTTTTGTGTTATCAATTTGTGTGATTACTGCTGGCTCTTAGGTTGTGTTGACCAATGTTTTATAATAGTATTATTTTCAGTGATTGCTCTATTATTATTTATAGTTCTTTTATTATTGATTCAATTTACAAACCTCACAACCTGATTCCTCTGGTGAGAGGGTTCCTGCAGACTTCTTGTAAAATTCATACTTTTAAAAATTTAAAAGTTGTGGATGAAGTATCTTGTATTTGTATATATAGTGGTAATTTTTTATTTTTAATTTATGTATTTTTATTGGAGTACTCTATATCTTGTCTAGTGCTTCTGCGTTCTTTTTTACATGCTCATTTTGGAGGCACCCAGCATTATAGAACAGTATAGGGAGATAGTTTGAAACTTTTTATTACTTTGAAGCTTTCTAATTGGCTGAGTTTCTGAGCTACTTAGTGAAAAATTAGCTATCAGAGAAATCTTAAGACTCTAATTAGTTGAAAAGTAAAAAGTTAGGATAAAAGAAGTTTGAATTTTCAAACAGCTAAATAATATAATAATATAAGTATGGTTTTGTTAAAACTATCATATTAACTTTTTCTATTATTGCTTGGAAAAGGAGTGTGAAGAGTGAAAACTAGAGAAAAGCATTCTTGAGAAGAACTTTAATTTCTTTTCCTCCATAGTAGAACAGCCTCTCCTTTACTGGGGAAAAAATTTGAAAAATAAAGTAATTTTGTTAATTTTTAATTTAAGGTGTAAGCTCGATATCTATGAAGTGAAATATATGAAAACAGCTTACTACTATTGTTTTCTTAGTATGTTTATTATTAGGTCCTAGAGGTTGTCTGTACATTTTAAGTTAGTAATTTATTTTTAATTAATCAAATTTCTGCTAGTTGCTCTACCATCTAATATATTTTTACATCTTTTCTTGAACTTATAACTGTATTCAAGTTGTAAATTGAGATAGAATAAATATAATAATTAAAAGAAGTAATAGGAAATCAAAAGCCAACTGTAACTGGAGCTGGTACTTAGTTAATTAGTTTGTTTTACGTTTTGTTTTAAGTATCGGTTGATACTTGGTTATTTTTATGATTTGATTGAGTAAGAACATAAGTAAGAATTCATAATTGTACTCAAACATATGTACTTAAAAAGACCACTGGCTTCCACTCTAGAAACAGCAGACTTTGACAGATAGTATTCTAATATACTTGGTTGAACAGTTATCTTTATTTTCCTAATACACTACTGAAGCCTCCCTTAGTGAGCCCAGAATTGCTACTCTCCAGTAGATTGGCATACTACTCCTATTGTACTCGACAATGTGACTAGCGCCCTAGCGTGAACACATTATACCAACTAAGAAATGCTAGACCCTATTACCTTAATAGCTTTACTATAAGACCTCTGATATAGGCTATATTGTATCAAATATTCAATATTTATTTCATACAGATTTATAATATTTTTTATAGAATATAATTTAGTGAAAAAAATATTCATGCTTTAGCAACTCATAGTACTACAACTATATCTTTAATCAATATAAGCTACATTATACTGAGAGTCAGAAAGCTCTGTAAAAGAAATTAATTTTTGAGTTATTCTATATGTAGGTATATAAAAGAGGGCATAGAGGTTATTGGAAGTAGAAAGTATTTTCTAAGATACTGGTAGTATGCTTTAGAAAACTATCAATTAGGCTATACTAAAATAAATTTTATAGCATTGAAGGTATGGTGCCAGCACCTTAGAATCAACCCTCACAACAACCGAACCCCTCCAACTTTCGGCGGGCAACAACAACATCACATATCATTATTTTCCTTATTCCTTCTGTATAATCCTCCTAAAACATATAAAGAACACATTTACAGAGCAGATTTCACTCAAGGGGTGTGGTTCTTTCTATAACAGCTGTTAAAGTTGAGGCAAAATTTGGGTAAAGTGAGGAGGTTGGCACTTGTGTGTGAAAAGCAGGTTTTTGCTGAGTAATATACTAACACATTGCCTAAAGCAGTATGGTCAGATACTACATTAGGACTAGTGCCCAGACCCGGATGGCACTGATGATCGATTCTATAGTGCCAGCACCATAAGTGTATAGGTTCTAAAAAAACTATACTCTTATTAAATAGTTATTTATTTTCTACCCTTATTTTCTAATACTATAATAATATTATTATTATCCCTATACTTTAATATTTTATTTTAACTTCCTTAACTAATATACCTTAGAGTTAAAGTTACTGAGACTAGGTTAGATAGTAGCCAACTCTAAGAACAAGTAAGTTGTAACTAGGGCCAGTAAGGTTTTTTGCAGAATGGTTAAAATAGCTTACTAGTATAATAGAATAGACATTAATAAAGAATGGGTATAATGTATTTGACCTAGTTATGGGACACTACCTAGTTATAGGATACTTTCAAAACTTGTATACAACCTAAAGAATCATGAACTACAACAGCAGTAGATAATCAATTTGGCAGCAACTGAGAAGAAAGAATATCAGCATAGTTTAGAGTATGTAATATAAAATTTAAAATATATTACCTAAAACAAAAATTGCTACTAAGAAAAGTATAAACTAAATAGGATTTTATAATTGTACCAATTAGGAATTTTTCAAAAATATACAAAAAATAGTAAAAGTATTCTGTGAAGTAAATTAATTAGACTAAATCCCTCCTCAAAGCTAGCAGGTAAAAGCATTGTGATTAGGTACCTAGTAGAATTAAGCCATTAGCTTGAATAGAGGTAAAAATTTCTTTATTTTAAGAATATTATACTATATAAGAAAACTTGAACTGCAATAGCTATAGAGGTTCAATTGAGTTACAATTTAAAATATTGAATATAGATATTATGTAAAATATATCATAAGAGTATTTGTTATCTAGAACATAAAGGAAGAAATATTATTACAAAAATAATAAAGCAAGTAAGATTTTATAATTACTAGGCAAAGAAGTAATTATTTAAAAATAAAATAAAAATAAAAATAATAATCTGGTACCAGGATTAGGTAGATATAATTCTCAATTTAAGTAAGTATATGAAAGTATATTAATTAGAAATTTGGTAGGACTAAGTTATCAGTTTAAATAAAGTGAAACTTTCAATCTGCACAGACTTATCTTGTAGTTACAATATTAGCCTCTCCAACTTACCTCAACTCTAATAATTTTCCTCTTTCTTCAAACAAAGAATTAGGTTCTCCTATCTGAGTCTTCCTAATCAATATACTTTAGTAGTCTATATGAAATTGAGAATCATGTTTACCTAATCCTAGCATCTGTCACAAACTGTGACTAAGCAAAATAGATTTCACATAGCTCAGAATTCTGAGTTATAGGTATGTGTTAAGAATCCTACCGAGTAGGACCTGGTGACAGGTAACGATACTTCTCTGTAAGGTGATAGTTCTCAGGCCTCTGCCTACGCGATCCCGATAGTCCAGTCCTGTGACTACTATCTGGTTCGTGCCTATCTCTTTGTTCTTCTCCTTAGTCCTCACTTAGGACTTAATCTCTCCTCGTGGGAGGAAAGACAATTCTCGGGTTTCTTAAGATAGATCTTAAAGAGCGTAATGGTAGGTTTTATTGATAATAACTTGAAGGTAGGAAATAAACAAGAAGAACGTGTGAAGAGCTAATACTAGGGGTCCTAGTAACCCTTTATATAGTAGCTCTTCACCTGGCGTGACTCATACTTATGCGTCACGCGAACCTTGTGACTCATAACTATGAGTCACCTGAAATCCATCAGCCGACTCCTACGAGTCACTGCGCAACATACCTAAAACCAATTAAACTATAATAACTAAGTCAGATGCGCAACTCGCGTCACCTGAGTGAAACTCATGACTCATAAGTATGAGTCATATGCGAAAATCATAACATCATGTGACTCACAACTGTGAGTCACGAACAGGTAAACATAATAACCTATGGTGCACTAGTGTGCGTCATGTGAAATCCCAACATACCTATACTAGTAGCTCGGAAGTCCGAGCTATGTGAAATCTGTCTCGCTTAGTCACAGTTTGTGACAGTATGTTAGCTTTCACATAACGAGCAATAGCAAGTTATAGGTTATTATATTTACCTGTTAGGTGACTTACAGTTGTGAGTTATATGATGTTATGATTTTCATACATGACTCAGATTATGCGTCATGGGTTTCACTCAGGTGACATGAGTTGTACACCTGACTTGGTTACTGAGTTTTAATTGGTTTAAGTTGAGGTATGTTGTGTAGCGACTCAGAGGAGTCAGCTGAAAGATCTTGCATGACTCATAGTTATAAGTCATAGGTTTTGCATGATACAAAGTATGAGTCATGCCAGGTTAAGAGTGAATATATAAAGAGTTACTAGGACCCCAAAGTATGAGCTCTTCACACATTCTTCTTAGTTATTTTCTCTATATATATTTACAATAAAATATCTTTATACTCTCTACTTTATTTTAAGAAACCTGAGAACTATTTCTCCTCTCATGACCTAAGGATAAGTCTTAATGAAAACTTAAGAAGGTTAAAGAGGAATTAGGCACTACATGATAGAAGTCTAGGACTTAACTATCTACATAGTATAGGTAAAGACCTAAGAGCTATTCCTTATAACACTGGTAAAGAAAGAATTATTACTTGTTATACCCACACACCCAGTAGGATTCTTAACAGTATCAGATTATTATTTTTATTTTTATTTTATTTTTAAATAATTACTTCTTTGCCTAGTAATTATAAAATCTCACTTGCTTTATTATTTTTATAACAATATCTCTTCCTTTATGTGCTAGATAACAATACTCTTATGATATATTTTACATGATATCTATATTCAATATTTTAAGTTGTAACTCAATTGAACCTTTACAGCTGTTGAAGTTCAAGTTTTCTTATATGGTATAATATTCTTAAAATAAAGAAATTTTCACCTCTATTCAAGCTAACAACTTAATTCTACTAGGTATCTAATCACAATGCTTTTACCTGCTAGCTTTGAGGAGGGATCTAGTCTAATTAATCTAGTTCACAGAATATTTTTACTATTTTTTATGTATTTTTGAAAAATTCCTGATTGGTACAATTATAAAATCTCACTTACTCTATACCTTTCTCAATAACAATTCTGGTTTTAGATAATATATTTTAAATTTTATAATTATTACATACTCTAGACTATGCTGATATTCTTTCTTCTTAGTTGCTACCAAATTGATCATCTACTGCTGTTGTTGTTCATGATTCTTTATGTTGTGTACAAGTTTTGAAGGTGTCCCATAACTAGGCAGTGTCCCATAACTAGGTCACATACGTTAGGGTTTATCGACACATGCTAAAAAATTGTCACTCTAAGTAGTGCTTTGAAGAGCCATCACGGTGCCTTCCAGAGAGGTCGTACTAACTTTCGTCCTAGCTCCTAGTAGGGCCCGGGTGGTTGGGCCCCCTGAGAAAGGAGGTAAGTTCAAGTTAGGTATGGTATTGTTAGGGGAGACGAGGACATACATAGGAGATAACGAGAATAGTTGTCCTCCAGCTTTTTGTTTATTTGTTGAAGGTTTCTATTCTTTTCTATGGATGACGATGATGAAGACGCGGTTAATAAGGCGTCGAGCAGAGGAGAGGGGGGATCAGGAATCCCGAGGGGGGATAAGCATCACCGGAATTTTCCTTTCTCTCTTTTTTCAGTCTCATCTTTTCTCGCAGAGCAACCTTTTCATAGATGAATAGTTGAGGAAAAATGACCATCGTGGAACAATATTTTCTCCTTCTATTCACTTTCTTTACTGTCACTGAGCTTACCATTGTTGAAGTTCTTTGCAGTCTGTTTTGCAGTTATTTTCCGGGCTCTTTAGCATCAACCACAGCAGGGAGATTTGCTCTTTGCCATGACCCACCGAAGGACGCCGAGGGGAGAGGAGGCGTGACAGTATGGGTGTGGCAGATCTTAGTGTCAGTTAGCCGGAGCTCAGTATTACTACTGGCTATATTAAAAACCAAAAAAAACGATATTAAATCAACACACGGTTTAAGAAGAGAGCTGTACAGTCATGTAGCAACCCCCATGACCCAGGTAGAGGCAGGTGTAGATATACTCTCTATCGCAATGCTCAAAAACACAGCTAATAGCACATCTAGACCGTGTCTGGATATAAGAAAACCGGCAGGGGGCAAAGACATAACATGTCACCCTAGATATACAGTAACTCCCGACCACTCCACCGAGAATTGCCAGGTCCGCCCAATACCTTCTTAATAATCCCTGAAAAAGCGCAAGCATGAAATCCATCGTTGGATATCGATGGGTAGGCAGTTCGTGGCCGTGGCATCGCCAACTTTATTATCCTCATAAGGCCCAATCGATCTGCAATGGCTGAATCCCTTTACCGATACATTAATCGGCCAGGCCAGGGGAGAGAGGGGGGGGCTCGAACCAGCCGATGCCTCTCGGGGGGCGCTTTTATCTGTCCTCCCTCCATACTGTACTACTTTCTAATGTTACATCTGCCTACTCTACCACCACATTCTTCATTTCAACTACAGTACTTCCAATCCTTGAGTGGTTGAAATATTCAAGTGCGGAATTTTTCAACCTCCCACATTCCTTATATCTTTTCCTTTCTTGTTTGTTCTCCGGGACTCTAGCTAACCCCCCTTACTTCCATTGCTACACAAATACCCACAGGTCAGCTTAACCACCACACAAACAGAAAGAATCATGCCTCCCATGATCCTCATAGTAGGGTCACTAATGGCGATAGCCCAGGCAGTACCATTATTTGGTGCAACAACGAATCTCTTCCGAAAGCCGGTAGGCCTATTAATCCCGGTATCTAACGACAACCCTTTACCTATCTTTCAAACGCAGGCGAAACATCCATGCTCAGAGCCGAAGCAGGAAACACAGAATGCGTGCCATATAGCGGAGGGTCAGGGTCCTATGCATACGAATAAGTATTATCAGAATTTCGTGATGGGATTCCAGAATCAGACGGTATTTCCTCTGCCGTACGGGATTCGGTGGGATGATGGAATTGGCGGGTCAGGACCCGATCAGGTGGGAATGGCGGTGATGCACCATGAGGCGGATTCAAGGGTACGTATTCATTCGAATTTCTAACTCGTTCCAGACGTCAATATCGGAGTGGAGTCCAGAGCTGATCCATTGAGTGTGAGGTCGAACAGGTATTCATTAATTCAACGACCAATTCCGGTGCGTGGAAACGTTACAGCTTACCTTTAGGAGATCCAGCATTGATAACCTTTTCGGCGAAAGAGTTCACTCCGCCACCAAAATTTAGCTCAAGTCGTCCCACAGACCAATTCTGTTTGAACGTGACTTTATCGGGCGGTGATGGGAATATGCGAATGCCTGTATGTCAGGGTATGGCATTCGCAACGGCAGTCTATACAAAACTTACGCCGAGAATATTCATCCATGCTCCACCCGGATACGTGATTACCCAAGCTGTCGGGAGCGGCGGTAGTTTCCTGAAGATCAAAATACAGCTGAAAAACGGGAATATCGTTCTTCTGTATATCTTCTCAGATGGAAAGAAATGGACCCCCGGCGATGATGCACAGATCAGGGCCCTAGGAGACTCGTTGGAAATTAATCTGAAGGATAAATACGAAGGAGCCATTATCCAGGGTGCTAAAGTTTCAAAAAGGTCTAGGACGATAAAGGAGGATGAAGCAGTGTATGATCGGTCTGCGGGTTGGTACCCCGGATCAGCCGCGCTGTCATCTATGAAGTTGAATAATAAGAGCGCAGGATCATACACCATTAGTTACTACCAGGAGAATCTCTTGAAGGAAGGAATCTTTGGTGGGCCATTGGTTTACGGACTACCGCATCATATCGCAGCATTATCTGGAGATTCTATGGAGAAGAAGACAGGACTTAAGCTGGACAGCAGGGTGAATGGGCCAATGACCGCTGTCTCCAGCGCTGATCTGGAAATAACCGAATATGGGCTTCCGAGCAAGATCACCTTCGGGCTAGGGCAGGGAAAAGATATACCACAGACAGACAAGGACGTCGTCAAAGAGGTTATCAAGAAAGAGATAGCAGGAAACCTAACAGCATTGAACGCCGAAGGAACATACTTCAAAGGCAAAAGACTGGCCCGGTCAGCATATATCTGTCTCTCAGCCTGGGACGCCTTAAAGGATGAAGCCCTGACAAGAGAATGTCTGGACAAAGCTAAAGCAGCTTTCACCCCCTTTACCAAAAACTCGGTGAATCCAAAACTCTACTACGACTCTATGTTCGGAGGGATAGTCTCTGACGCCTACCATACACATACAGGCAAGCCAGCCGAAAAAATCAATGCCGATTTCGGAAACATGTTTTACAATGACCACCACTTCCACTACTCTTATTTCATCCAAGCCGGCGCAGTGATCGCCTGGCTAGACGCACAGATCGACAAGAATGCCAAGATCGACAACGAAGACAGTTGGGTAGCGAAAAACAAGGACTACATAAACACCTTCATCCGGGAAACCGCCAACCCCTCCCCGGGGGACACCAAATACATCTCCTTCCGCAACTTCGACTGGTTCCACGGGCACAGTTGGGCTGCAGGCCTGTACGAATTCGGGGACGGGAGAAACGAAGAGTCCAGTTCGGAAGACTACAACTACGCCTACGGCGTGCGACTCTGGGGCGCGGCCATCAACGACAATCTCATCGAGGGCCGGGGTCTCCTAATGCTAGGCGTTATGCGGAAGAGTCTGAACATGTACATGTTGACCGGCAGTCATCTCTCCGTGCAACCGCGGGAAGTCAGGGGAAACTTTATATGCGGTATTCTCTGGGAGAATAGCGTTGATTATGCTACATGGTTTAGCCCCGCCGTAGAAGCCATTCATGGAATTCATATGATCCCTACCACGCCGATCAGCGAGTACATCCGGGATCCGGCGTTCGCAAAGGCCGAGTTTCAGGGCACGTACCAGGGGAGGCTGGACAAGATGCCAGTTAACCCTTGGAAGAGTATCTGGGCGATGAACTTGGCGACGTTCGACCCCGAGTCTGCCTGGGAGTTTTTTAGTAGTAAGGAGTTTGATAAGAAGTTATTGGACGATGGTTTGAGCCAGTCTTGGGCTGTGGCTTTTACTGCTGGTATTTTTCCCTTCTCTCCCCACCCTTATTCCCCCTCCCTCCTTTGCTATCCGGTTGGGGAGTGATGCTGATGAAAAGCAGGTATGAAAGTTCTCGTTGGCAGAAGGGGCGCTCTATCTGGGCCCATGATTTCGAACCGTACAGGGTTATCTAGGTAATCGCCATAGCATCCTACCGGTAACTTAAAAAAATTCCTTTATGAGGAATCCGGGGGAATGGAATTTTTTTACTTTTTTTTTACCTTCCACAGCTCCCATTTCGCATATATATCCATCCATGCACAAGTGTGGCTTTTAGTATTTTGTTCTAGTTTTTATATATTTTTATTAGTGCCATATCAGGTTTCTTAGGTGGATAGATGGGGTGGATCTACCTTACCATTAGATGGCATTTTACCTTTACCATCCTGTACGTTGATATTTATCGATTGTACCTCGAGCCCCGACAGTCACGGGATATCACACGATTCCCCATATATTAATTAAAACGATACACCCCCCACTACCAGTAGAAAATCCAGCCGAACATCAGTTGTGGCACGGTAGCGAGAATATCACGACAGGGCAAGAGTATCGAGAAATAAGTTAGGCATACACGGTAGTTGCTAGTGACGGTCTCCGAGGATCGTACTAAATTTGTACTTTTGTATCCCTCCACTCAGCGACTACCAACATAATAAACGCGTGCAGCCCCTCCCTATCCTACCCCAGCACCACCCAACCACCCCACTTTTTCTCAAACTCTCACAATCCGGCATCACACAGTATATATTGCTTGGATAAATTCCATACGACTTTCACCCTTTCTCATCCGTCCTAGTATTCCCCATGAGCCTGCTCGAGCTGGCTCGGCTTGATGGGAAATAGACTGGAGCCGCTCGAGATTTAATGCAGGGCTCGAGCCTCCCCAAGTAGGCTCGGGAACTAAGGCTCGAGCCTGGTTTTGTTAGTGGTCACGTGGTATCACTCGTTAAAATGACCTACAAGGGCAACCGTATAGCGTATGGTTCGTGCGGACCAAAACCGTAACCAGGCTGAAAGAGAAATGTTACGTGGCTGTGCTACTATAGAGGTTAAGCCCTAACATTATTTATTCTAAAATAAGGTATTTGAACTCACTTTTCAGGATTTGTATAGAGCTTATTAATAAAAAATAACCTGATTCTGACATGATCAAAAGTTATAACAGAATATATTATTTAAAATAAAATAAAATACTATGATAAATACAAGTATAACTACAAATATAATATTATAATTATTAGTTAATTATGTTAATTATAATTATTAATACATTGGTGACTTGGGTATTTATGCTGTATCATATTACTCTGTAGTATTATACAATAAAATATAGTAGGTCTAATACTTATGCTAGTAAAGATTTATAGGTTATTGCTTTCAAGATGTGTTTTATGTGAGGGCTTGATACAAAAATGGAATTACTAATCCAAATAGTGCCCTAACTTCAAGCAAAACTGTGGCTGTGCGTAACATATTTTCTTTATTTGAGGCTGTATAAGTTAAAACCTGATTATTGGGCTTTTTTGAAAAGTGCAGGAAAATGTACTGTATATTTACGAAAGATTCAATTTTTTGGACAGAAAACATGCGAAAGAGGTCATCTGAAGTTCTAAAATATTTTCTGAGCTACTATATACCTACTTTACATAACTAGCTAAGTAGTTAAGCAAAAATAAATGTTTTGTAGTTGAGGCCTGATAATCAGGTTTTAACTTATACAGGCTCATTTACATCAAAAATGCCTTATTTCAAATGATTATACCACCAAACCAGGTTGTTCAAATGATCCAAAAAAACCTCTACATTGTTGAGAAAGATAAGGAGAATAATGTAGAGGTTTTTTTAGGTTACCTAGATAGCTGGATCTGATGGTATAATCATTTGAAAACTGCTAAAAATCTGGTTACGGTTTTGGTCCGCACGAACCATACCTAAGTAGAGGATATGTTCCAAATATCAAGTGGGTATAAAAAAACCCCCAAATTCTACTACGAACATATCGGTTTTCCGCTTAGCCAGCCCCCTAGTTTGTGTAAATCAATCGAGGACTGTATGTTTATGGAAAATATAATTGACTTGCTCAACTAGGAGTCCTCATTGCCCTCTAACACACCCGATCATCAGCCTCTCATGAGTCCAGGAAAATTTAGGAGCAAAGTGGGATCCGTACTCGGCTCCCCGCTCCGAGTTAGGCTGAGTAAAATGTGTGCAAACGGCTTCCGGAGTATCGGAAAATTTAAAATCATTAAATTTCTTTCTCCCTGGCCTATTAGAACCTCCACGACATATACAAGGTAATATTAGAGATACTAGTCTCTTTCTCTCTTTCCCGTGCCGATTTGAAATGAAAAATAAATCGTTTGAATAAGCCTGGGCTTAGCTCGGGTACGGCTCGAGCCAAAGACTTGACAAGCTCGAGTCGGCTCGGCTCTAGGCATATGTCGGCTCGTGGGGAACACTAATCCGTCCTCCGTATACCACTTTCCAGATGCAATATCAAATGATCAAGTTGTGTCGGTGATAACCCGCTCCGAGATGTGGTATGATACCCGAAAGCGCTTTCCGGATATCCAGATAGAAATCACCGGTAAAGCAGTACGAATAAGGGCCGGGGTCTGAAGTGTGTTGAAGGGGACCGTAACTCATGGACGAAGATAGTACTGCCCGAGCGATTTACGGTGCACCTCCACCATCATTAAATCCTTTGAAGTTTGGTTCTTGCATTCGCTTGATTTTCTCCCCTTTCTTCTTCCCACCGACATTGGTAGCTTTCCCTCCGCGGGGCAGAGCATTCTTAGGAGTGATTTTCCCCATCTTTATGCCCCTAGGAGTGCTCGGACTACGCCCGATATTTCCCAAACTTCGTGTATAGGGGTGAGAGGCTCGGCAGGCTCTAGTATCTATAGAAGACCCCGACCCACTTAATCCCGCAAATTAAAGCTCATTTACTGCAAGTCACTAGACGCCACAGAAGAATTACACCCCAAGTTGTGTCCAAATAATTTACTTTTGTGCACACCCTAGAAATGATGCCACGGATTGATACTAGACATAATGAACTACACAGCATCCTCCGTCAACTATGGACTGCCGAAAATTTTTCAAGAAATGGCAGTATCAACCTACATCACCCTCAAAATGGAAAAATTCAACCCCGCTCCCGGTTTAAAGAAACAACGCTAATCATGAAATGACACCCATTAAACATAAAACGGAAACCCCATGACACCTCAACGCACCAAAGATGCCCCTAATAGGGCTCCCTGTTCGAACCCATTTCATACACCGGGGGTGGGGTATGCACCCCCCCCCTGGGGATACCCCCCTTGTTGCCACTGCGGTGGATGCGCGGACGGGGGCGGGTGATATGCCGCCGGTGGCAACTCTTGTATCTGCCTGTAGGAAGAGCCAATCTCTTGCACCTTGACGCTGAGCGATTGTAAGGGCGGAGACTGCTGATGAGGGTCTTGTGGCGATGTAAGTTCTACGGGAAGGGTTGAAAAAGGGGTGCTATGAAGTTCGTAGCGATCGTACGGGTTTGCGGGAGTGTTTACCGGGGGTGACGGCTTCTTTCTGCAGAAGCGGTAGATGAGGAATCCACCCGCTAAAAGGACGACCGCGCCACTGACGGCAATGACGATTATGATGCTAGTTTTGAGCTTTGGTGGAGAGGATGAGTCCGGGTTTGGGGTTCCGGATGGAGAGTATGGTTCTGCGGAGGAAACATCCTCCGAGGACTTTACTAAAAGGACCGAGGAATTTGTGATGGGAGGGTGGTTTGCTCTGTCCCAGGGCACAACCTCAGATGTTACGAACGGGATAGCGCCTTGGTAGCCTTCAGACATGGCAAACCACTTCTCGGCGTAGTCTACCCAGAGGTGAACCACAGCTAGGAAAGGCCGCCCCAGAATTATGGGGCTATCGTCCGGTAGTTCCCGTATCTGCAGCATGCTCAATGCATCGCTGCTCCAACCAGAGTATGGAACGTACTTTACGGACATGTAGTCCTTAAAAGCAAGGGTTATCGGAACGCCATCGGTGTTCTCGAACTTGAAGTCCAGGACCGCACTCTCAGCATTGGTTTGCGCGTCCGTGCATACCCCGCAGTAGGGGAACTGGTAGACCTTGTGGGTGTCATTCCAGGTCACGCCCGAGACGCTAACAAGCGTTGACAAAACAGACTTTGGCAGCCAGAGGTATGGAGTTGTAGAGTCTATTATCGCAAGCGTTGGCTTGGCAACGAGCGAGTTATCGGTATTACCGCCGATTGTCCAGCGATAGACAAGGTCCTCGAGCAATACTTCCATCCGGTATCCGACATCTTGGGATGAGGGGAGAGGACTCGTGGTGGTGTAGTTGTCGTCCTTATTCCCGTCATCTCCCTTTACCGCTGTCCTGACCAGCGGATATTGCTGAGTCGTGTTCAAGTCCAGTACAGCACGGTTGTACCCCCCGAAGATGAGAATATACCGAAAAGCGTCCGCATCCTCGAGATCTACGACGGAATCGTTGGAAACCGCTGCATAACCATGGTAAAGGTGGAAAGAAGGACTTGGCGTGAATTTGTTCGAGTACAATGATAACGCCATTTGCTGCAACGACAAAATCCCATTCGGAAAATACTCCTTATCCGCCTCCTTCACCACGCCAACACTCTGGGAATCCATTTTGAAAACCCCCGTGTTCGACTTCAAAGTGATGCTCTCGGTGATGGTGCTTCCGACACCCTCCTGAGAAAGGAATTTTCCGCCGATGTTCAACTTTTCCGACAATGTCTTATTGTATACCCCCGCCAGCAATTCATCCTCCACCTTTGTTCCTGTGCCGATATCCCCGCTCCAAGTCCCGCCGATAGCATCGGTGCACGCTGTTACGTTGGAATCCTGAGCGCACAACGAAGCACCCGGGATCCAAGTCCTGCTCAAGGCGGTAGATAAGGAAAGGTTGAACTGCGTGCTCCCTACCACTACGGGAACGCCGAACCACGCTCCGAAGGTGTGTTGGCCATAACGCAGTGCAAATGGCATCACCACGGGCTTCGTCCGTGATTGAGCACTCACACCCACACTACCGGCGAAGAATAGGAAGATGCTAATCTTCATGATGAAGAAGGTTTTATAAAGAATGACGATGAAAGAGCGAATAGGACGGATAAAAGAATGTAACACCGCACCCCGTCCTCAAGACGAGAAGCCGGCGATGAAAACGAAGAGGAAAAGATTGACAGCAAGAGAACGATAGATGGAAGGAACAACGGTTAGTGTAGAAAAAAGGGGGGGTTTTTTTTTATAAAAAAACCCAGCCCATCTTTCTCCTCCCATTTGCGGTATCCCATTTTAACTTTATAGGTTGGTGTGACAGGGACTTTTGACCAACCTATCAAAACCCACCCTCCTCTCCGAGGGTGTCAAGGTTTAAGACGGGATTCGCTGGAGAGCGAACCAGGTTGCCTTAATCCTGTCGTACGGTTCCCACTTCTGGTTAGATCACCCCTTGTACGTAGCACAAGGCACAAACTCTGCGACAGGAGCTGGTAGGGGGTTTTATCATCTTTTTGGAAAGCTGTTCTAGGATCAGCTTTACCGGTACCATATCACACCGTACGTGTACTTGCACCGGTACGCGTGACAACTTGTCGGAACGATAGCACTGGAGATAAACGGTCGGGCAATTGGAAGCGCGCTTCTGTTATTGGGCTCCTCTTCTCTCTCCTTTTCTCTCGCGCCCGCGACGTCCCTACCATGGGCCTAGGAACGGGCACAGCATTGAGTGTCGTGAAAACTCTTGAAATCCACCATCCGGCCCAGCCCTGTAATCTCCGGCTCTAGAGTCGAAATTTCCGGAGAAGTGTTAGCCTCCTGCTGCCAAGGCATAGGGTCAGCCCACCAGACGTGTCAAGCCTATCACGGCTAGCAGGCATTCTTGATTCCCATGACCTGTCAAACTAAACCTATCATATCATGGACTGACAGGTTGATTTCCGCCGATAATTTGGCTGTGGATTCCAAGAGCGCTTGCGGTGCCACCGTTGGCCAAGTGGCAAGTTTTGGCCGGTGGGTTGGTGGCGGGTGAGGGGGCGGTAAGTCGGAGAATTGTTACAACCTGATTCGCCTGATCCCTCTTTGTTTTTGCTTTTCTTTACTCTTTTCTGAGGATTAAGTGGGGAATGGGGAAATAACTTTCCGAACCAACCACTCTTGCTTATGGCAGGGGGGTTTGCTTTTCCGGGACAACGGGTTGGCGTTTCGGCGCGAGAACAACAGTGGGCAGAGGGGTACAGTACGGTAGAGAGAGAGCAAGCACCTCAAAGGGAGCTTTCCTCTTCGCGATAAAATCCCCTGGCTAACGACTCAGGGGTCCATGAGGACAACGAGAGACATTGACGCAAGGATAGTTGAAGAACGAGACACGTCACAAGAGGTCACTCGGATTGCAAGTTTTTTACGAGTAGAGCCCATAAATTTTGGATATTTTACCGGAAAGGGGTACCCGGCACGAGAGAGGAAGGGCCGCGAATCAGGTATGGTCTAGTGCGAATTTGGTATGGCCTCGTGCAGTTTGGATATCTTCCTCCGTGCCACCCCTTGCTAGTAAAACGTACCATACCCCCAAACGATCAAAGGAATTAGCAAAAACAAAAGGAATGCCCAATAAGGAGCCGTATTACCCCGCCAACGTTGGAATCAGTGCAGAGACGGATTCAGTCCCCATCACAGGCGAAAAATAAACCTCCCCTCCTCGAGTACAGGCTCAGGGATCAGAGACAGTTTCCGATGCATGTCATATTTTTATTCCCCTCGGGATCTTAGGTCGCTCATGATGCAGGTAGCCCGTGCGCGGGCGCTGGGACTACCGGTGTCAGGCCCTCCTCTCCAGTGCCTGTTGATTGGATGGTGTGTTGCGCGTGCCGGGTCCCACCTCCGTGTCGTGATAGTGACCGTCTGTTATTCCTGACTATAACTCGGTAGGGAGTTTACCCAACCGTGACTTGCCTAATTCTCCCAACAGAGGATATCTACAGTAAAAGCGGAGGGACCAAGACCAACAGAGATGAACGAAGGAACTGTTGTCTAGTCCATAATTGTCATGCGTGGTTCGCTCATCTAACTGGTGGCGGTGGCTGTTGTAAAGAAAGACAAAAAGTGCAGAAAATCCTGCAAGCAAAGCTATCTACTGCACAGCAATTTGTGGGTGTGCAACCGTCCTCCTGACTGCTAAAAATACCCTATGTGCATGCCCTAAGCCACACCGGTGCTACGGGCGGCCCGCCGGTCCGGATGTCAGCCTCCGCGAGGTCCGCCGGCAACGTACTCGTACATTCAGAGCGATACTGAGGAAGTAAGCTCTGCCGGAGCCGAGATACACATAACGGACCACAAAATACACATCTCAAAACCGAACTTCATCGGATAAGACCCCCTGACGATACCTGTATAATACCGTGCAGAGTACAGTACCAGGATATGGATATGGAGCCTCACGCAATAGTGTTCTGCGCACTCTAGAGTCTAAACCACCTGGGTGGTTTACCAACATACCGAGCCCATTCCGGTTTGTTTCGTTTCCCCGCTTTTACGAGGGGCCTGCGTAGTTTGCCTCACACCTCAGACAACCCCCGCTCAGTCTACCGCTAGTATGGTGCCCACTATTGGGTTATGGGTAGCCTTGTTAGCATTTGAAGAGCCTTGTGCCGTGTCGATGCGCCTGGCACTGCGCACTGGGGTATGATATGCACATACCTAAATCCCTCCTCTAACTGGTTTTAGAGGTACAATATATATTAAATTTATGTTTTTAACACACCGTATAATACTTGTTTAGAAATTTAGTGCTTAGGGTATAGTAACCTAATTGGGGAAGGAAAAAATTGGAGGGGTGTTACAGGGCATGAGTACTACATTGTATCAATTATATAGTTACAGTCTAGGAGTCTTGTTATATATATAAACTGGTCAGCCAGCTTTCTGAATCTCAATCCTATTGAGAATATCTGGTATATTCTTAAAGATATAGTTAATAAGCAATGTCCTCATCCATCTACTATGAGGCAAATGTCGGAAACCATTAGTCGAGAATGGTACAGTATTCTAGAGGAAGGTATTCTGTCATTGGTAGATTCAATGCCAGAATGAATTAAAGCTATTATTGCGGCTAGTAGTGGGTGTGTATGCTAGTGGTTTTTTCTTTCTTTTTTTTCTTTTTTCTTCACTGTTCTCTTAATTTAATATATATATTTAATAAAATTTCAGTATCATCAACGTTTCTGATTGTTAAAAAATTCTCAATCAATCCACCATATGTGAATGGCCGTATAGCCAATTGTACTCCTGTACCCCCCCTCCCCCCTCTCCCCCCTCTGGTATCCCGTCTCACCTTGTACTACAGGGGCATTTTCCTCCCCAATGTTTGAGTACTTCTTGCCTGGAATGAATAAAACCTGTATGAAGTTTTTTTAAGGCTTTCAAATACCGGTAGTTATATGCTAAAAATCAAATACAGGTACGACGTTTTAAAAATCTCCAAGAAATAGAAACGATCAAGGAGAATGGCTCCGAGTTTTTCTTGTAGCACTCAGAACCCTGTAGAAATTGATAGTAATCATTTAAAATTATAAGTTTTTAGTATAAAAATTGGAAATGTAGCACATACAGCTAGAGTGTGATTGCCAGGCTCCCGCTTAGTTTAGTCACCAAAATCTCTGCCCAGGGGGCATATTGTCTGAATCCATATCGCAGATAAACTTAACTGGTATAATACCTGATCCTGAGGTTTAAAGTTAGTAGGCGGTCTTTCTATATTGTGATATCGTGATACCGTGCCTGGCACACCGATACGGAGGCTTATGTTGTGGCGCAAGTTCTTCACTAAGCTCTGACAACCCTAGTAATGGACTTGGAAAAAAAAAATTCATTTTCTCTTTGTAATATCGGTTACCATAGGTTAACACCAGTTGAATTCTGTCGGCTCGGAAGCCCAAATCCTTGGTAGGATTCGGTTCCTGTTCCTTGACCCAACCGAGACATTCTGCTAGTTGGGCTAGCTAGCGTGAACTGGGGCAATAGGTAGCGTGACAGACGTGCTAGGGGCGAAACCAATACCAAGACCGTACGTAATGCACAACTCCCCCACTTTTGCTGGGAACACAAGAACGGTCGCCAACGCCAGAATAAATAACTAGTCCGAATACCCGTAAATTCTGGCACTCGAGTACAACGAAGTCGATTCGCCTCTGTTCTCTGTATGGCAGTTACATATCCCCGGGAAAGCGCATTTACCACATAATTAGGCCTTATGAGCACTAGCGGCTACCCTAACGAGTATAGCGGCGGGTCGAGTTTGCTGTACGAGTACCCAGAATTTGCGGTGCCTGTAAGTTACTCGTACTGGAAAAGATACCCCACACTCGCTTCTAGCTACCGTACAGGAATACCGGTATTGGCAATCCTAGCTCACTGCACAACTTGATCGGTGGCGGCTGCGTGATGTACTGTACAGTACAGTAGTATACGGTTCTTGAGCAGGTCGCGTGCCAGTACGGTAATGTGTTCAGCAAATGTAGCTACCCCCGGGTACCCTTCCCTACGCAAACATTCCATCCTTTTAAATAGCTAGGCTAACCCCCTCCCCTCCGACTCTGATGATGCATCGGTAAGCAATCTAAGAAGCCATGTACGAGTACACTCTCGGGGATGTCGCCGCTCATGCCAATCCGAAGGATTGCTGGATAATCGTCGGGGGCATAGTTTACGATGTGACCGAATTCTTGCCACAGCATCCCGGCGGGGCTGAGAGTATATACTAATCCATCCGCCCTTCCTCTCTGTACAAATTTTCTGACCAAGAGTAGTAATTCTTTCGTATGCTGGAGCTGACGCTACGGGGGCCTACGAAAGCTTTCACCCGTCCTCTCTCCTCAAAACCCCGCCGCCCGAGTTCAAGTTCCTGGGCCCCCTATCCCGCTCGGAATTGCCGATCTCGCAGACTCTCGAATTAGAGGCCAAACGGCACCCGAAGCCCCCTCTTCATACCATCATCAATACCTTTGATTTTGAGACCATAGCTGAGCATACAGTTACCCCTAAAACATGGGCCTTTTACTCCTCCGCTGCTACGGATTTACTCTCAATGAAACTTAACAAGAAGGCTTTTGATCAGGTGTTGTTCAGACCGAGAGTTATGCGCAACGTCAAGTCTGCAGATACCAGGACGAAAATTCTAGGCTTCGATACTGGTGTCCCCTTCTTTATAGCGCCGACAGCGATGCAGGGGATGGCTAACCCGGAAGGAGAAAAGGCTGTAGCGAAGGGTGCGGGGGAGGAAAACGTTATACATATCGTAAGAACTTAAAATCAGCCAGTCCCACACATACCGTACGCCGTAAGCCCCATAGGTTGCTAATTGCCATAGATATCAACCAACTCCTCACATCCAATCGCAGATATTGTTTCTTCCGGCAAGGGCCCCGGGCAACAAACCCACTTTTTACAGCTATACGTCAACACCGACCGCCAAAAAACTTCTCAGCTCCTCGCCAATGCGAAAGCCTGTGGTCTTAGAGCTGTCTTTGTAACGGTTGACGCCCACGTTTCTGGGAAGCGGGAAGCAGATGAACGTCTGAAGGTTGACGTCCCGGTAAAGTCCGCAGTCAGCGGTGCCGTCTCACATAATGACAGGAAAGGGGGTGGTATGGGGCGTTTGATGGGTTTATATATCGACCGGACCCTTAATTGGGAGGACATCGCTTGGATAAAAAGCGCAGCCGGAGGCCTCCCTATCGTTTTGAAGGGTATTCAGACAGCTGCAGATGCAAAGCTAGCCGTTAAATATGGGGTTCAAGGGATTGTCTTGTCAAATCATGGTGGGAGGAACTTGGACACGTATGAGCCCACCTACCATGAAAGCTAGTGATAGGATCTAATTCATCAGATCGCCGCCTGCCCTGTTTACGCTTCTCGAAATTCATAAGATCTGCCCGGAAGTTTTCAATTCTCTGGAGGTATACATAGACGGAGGAATTCGAAGAGGGACAGACATATTCAAGGCGCTGTGTCTTGGTGCTACGGCAGTAGGGGTCGGTAGACCGTACTTGTACGCGCTCAATTACGGGGCAGAAGGCATTGCACATCTAACCCAGAGTAAGCACTGGCTCTCCTGACTATCGGGATAACGCTGATCCAAGCGGGGAAAAGTCCTCAAGGACGAACTGGAAACAACAATGAGGATGTGCGGCGTTACAGACCTATCGGAGGTCCATCCAGGACTAGTAAACACAAGGAAAATTGACGCATTGGTAGAGGATGGGATTGAGCATTCGTATGTGAAGTGGAGACCAAAGAGTAAAATATAGGTTACCGGGGAAATTTTTACGATATAATATACAACACATACTGTCGGGATACTCCGCTCTCTGTTCGAAGGAAAACATCTCCATTAGATTGCGCGGTAGGAATACGGTATCCGAGATGACTGAAACCCACGAATGCTCGAGTATGATACGTAGTGAGCTTGCGCGCTAAGTTTGATTCTTAGGACTTCTTGTACAGTACTGTTCTAGGGTTGAATTAGTGTATCCACCAAGGTCCGGTGATCGGCGATAAAGGTTGTGCAAGAATTATTCGTACACCCATCCCACAAGCTTGCAACCGGGATTAGCCGCCTGCATTCAAGCTCCCTTCTTTGGGCAAAGGGGGGCCCCGCTGAGCGTGAGATCAAGATGCCAGCCCTACACTAAGCCGGATCGAAAGACGGTGCAGAGAAATCCTAGACCGAGTCGAAGCCATGCGGGAACCTCGCACCCCACCCGCGGTATTTCCCGTTATGAAATCATCCGAGGATTCGGCGAACAAGAGGTGGTGTCTACTCGAGTATAAAGCGCACACCCCCGGACCGGCGTGCCCACGGGCAAAACGGGCATCAGTTGCCACAACAATCCACCTTGGTCGATATCTCTTTTCCTATGGCCCTCATTCATCAATGCTTTCTCCAAGACGATAGGGAGGTGATCTTGTTTTTATTCTTCTCTCCGTCGTGGTTCTGGATTTCAGGGCAGCACCACTAGAGGGTTTGACCTAGCTGGGAGCTATCAACATTATTGCCAGGGATTGCTCCCCGCGCCAAGATCTCATGAAATCGACGACGAAAGCCGGGATTCCTCAACTCGACCCCTTCAAGAGGTCATACAGTGGCTAATGTTGAGGTTGGCATCTAGTGCCCTAATAGAGCCATCCCGCCTCCGGGTTGAGAATCGTTTATGGAAATTTTTCGAGTTGGAAACTTGTTAATGGAACACCATTTTATGTGCAAAACTGGAGTATCAACTGGAAACTTGGCACTCAAAAAATGATTTTTCACCCTTGGGGCTAAATTCCTCTGTTCCTGGTCAACGAGCCGAGTTGCCAAGAAAAACTGGACTGGAAGTGACTAGCGTGTGGCTGGTGGTCCATCCTTGGCCCGGATCGGGGATGGATTGTGGGGTAAGCCCGATCTAGCCACCACTAACTTCACACTATCCAATATTAATCTAGTGCCCACGCAAAGACGTGTAGGACTCCTCTACTCGAGTTGATGGAGGGAAAAAAACCGACTTTTAGTCCTCCGCTGAGACAAACAAATAGAAAAGCACAATAGACCTTATGGAAGACAACTTCAACGTCCTAGCACGAGATTCAATGACAGCCACCCCGAACTAATCCCGGATCTAGATAATCTAGATACCCAGCCATCACCTCTAAACCTCTATAGGTTGCAGATTTCCATACACCAAAGCCTGTCCTGTCGTCCCGGATCATCCGCTGTATCAGGCAGAGTCTTTGGACCTTGGCCGTCTGGGATAGCTAGGTGTTATCATTCCTGTTCCAGGTGTATGCACTGGCTCCCTCGATCCCGCAATGTCTGCTGGCCGCAAGGGAGGGACCACAATCCCCCCACATAGCACCAATTTACGGTGGTGAGGGATACTAACTTCCCGCCTCGGCATAGTAACCCGAGCCACCCACGAAATCTAGAGAATCTGCATAATGTTCTGGAGGCAGTTACCTCCGGAACACTTTATGATTAAGATCTACTTGTCTAGAGGAGGAAATATTTGGCACGGTTGTCTTGGCGCTAGTGTGGGTTTTATATATGTTTTCACGCCATCAACCGCCAAAAACAACTGGGTTATGGCATACACGACCGCTAAAATGGTCGCTCATGTCTTTTGAGTCATGTGTTTCCCCAACCTCCATCCATTCCTTTAAAAAGCACATGTGGCCCCAACTTTTGGGATCACTGCTCCTTCCCTCTCTCAACCTGCATCCCAATCTGCAGACCTTCTACACAGGCACTTCCCAACCTTCACTGCATTTTCTCACAGTAGGGGTCCAGATATATCAAGGCTCTCAAATCATTATGTCTATCGGTATCACTGGGTCTCCCCCATCGATGGGGCAAATGGTTCACACTCTCGCGGAGTTCTCTTTCCTGCCCAGGACTGATTACACCTCCCGTAGATCTGGCAGGCGGTTGAAACTCCCCGACACGTTGTCCATACTCCTGGTAACCGAAAGTCACGGTGACGCAGCTGCCATCTCGATATACCGAGCAGCACCCGACCGCATCGATATATGGTATTCGAAGCGGCGGCCATGCACCGAGGCCGAGAAGGCCAATGTCATGGACTTTGTCCGATCCGCCGTACAGGCCACTCGCTTGTCAAAACCGGCAACAGAAGACCTCCTCCGTATTGCCCTGGGAATGTGCAAGTGCAAGGTCTTTGCACGCATCCACAAAGCTCGCAGTCTCCTGCTGCACTTGTGCCTAGACGGCAGTTACGGGATCATTCCGGGGACCTCTCCTGCTGACCGTGATTTCCGGGATGCGGCAAAGAGGAAATTGTGTCGGATCCTCGGGGAAGCTAAATTCCCACCCGAGATGCCTCTGGAGGGCTTTCTCACCAAGTGGTTTCAAGAAATCATTCTGGTGATGCGGGAAGGTGCTTCGTTCGACATCGCAGCGAACGTGGAGTTTTATTTCGAGACGGTGATCAGGTGCCATGGCGTACTCCAGCTACGTGGAATCGCTACGGTGGTTGAGACCTCTCTACTTGAGAGGCTGAGGAAGATCGCGGAGTATTATGCTGCCGTGTGCATTGTCCACAGGGGGGTCCAGCCCCTCAGTCCGGATGGGAAGGCATATCTCGTTCGAAACATCAGAGAGGTATGACTTCCTGAATACCCTCTCATCCATCCCGCACCCCCTGTCCCGCTTTTCCAACAGATGCAGATACCCCCATCAACCCCAACCACTTACCTGTCCCCTACCGACTCGCTCACCTGCCTAAACCACTGGGCCCACCGCCGCGGCCTAGCCCTCTCCTTCCCCTCCTCCCCCGCTCTCCTCAAGCAAAAACGGGTAGCCGAATGCACCCATCCCGAAGCCACCCTAATCGCCGAAATCATTTCCGCACACAAATCCTCCCCCGCTGTGTTGCGTGAGATCGGCACTAGCAAAACATCCTGCTGGATATGCCAGGAATTCTCGGCTGCGGCGTGCGGCCTGTATCCGGGTATTTTCATCAGGATGTCGGGGGAAAGCGTGGGGATTGCGGAGTCTTGGAAATTCCCGGTTGATACGCCGGTAGAACTTGTGCTTCCGCTGACGGGGAAAATCGAGAGGGCCATGGGGAAGGTGCTTGAGCGGGTTTTGGGGCAGGTGTTTGGGAGGGCTAGGGGAGTGAGTGGGGTTAAGAGGGGGGTGAAGAGGAAGATTGGGGAATTGGATGGATAGAATGGATGGATAGAATGAATTGATGGGTGGGATAATTTTAGGGAATTTTTGATATGGGTTGTTTTTCGTTCGATTTTCTTTTCTTCCTTTTGGTTACGGTTTGTACCCGGTGGCTTTGTTGGGGCCCCTTCGGGGGCTAGATTTTCCTTCTTGTTGACCGCATTGGTGAAAATATGACTTGAGGAATTTCCAAAGCAAGTCTATGATTGGGGTCCCTCTTAAGTTTCCTCTACTCTTTTTTTTTTTAAGGAAACTCTCGTATTATACCAATATACAGTCACTAGACAAAAGTCTTGGTGATCGCTACCGGTGAGACAAAGTCTGTGCACTGAACAAGCACTGCTCCGGCATGGCATGAGTTGAATAGCTACTGTAGCTCAACGATATTGTGGGAGATTAAATCTTAAAGTTACTAGTAAAAGGGCAAGTAATTAATCAAGAATACACTCTTATAAATTTGTAAATCCTACAGGTACTTTATATACCTCTACTTAGCCTCTATCACACCATCCTTCATAAACTGCATAAACATTCACAGATTTCTAATGAAGCTGACAGATATCTATCAAACCTCAGTTAGGACAACAAGCTTAAGATTCAAGATCCACAAACCTATGCCTGTGTGAGAAAACACTAAATGGTCAACTGTAGATAAGAAAAGATAGATAAAGAATAGCTGTCTACTAGGAACATCAACCAAGGTGCCACTAGTGAAAATGACTTAAAAGACAAATAAAAGGCCTACAACCATGGCTCTTCCAGAACTTGTCCTCTCTTGGAGCTGTAGTGCTGTCTTTTTTAGGAGGAACTATTATGATGGGCAATGTCTGATGTAAAGAAAGCAGGCTTGAGTGTAGTGTGATTTCAAACGGGGGTGTTTTATCCTCGCTTAGCTATGGCTGACTAAGCTATCACCAAGACTTTTGTCTAGTGGCTGTATCCTTTTTTTTTTTTTTCCTCCCCTGCGTTCATTTCTTTTGGGAGAATAGAGGAGAGAGATTGTTGGGATAAAAATTGATCCCTTGGACCCCGATTAAAGCTTTTGCTCCCCAGCTTTGTGAGAATTCGTCTGTGTTCTGTGTGAGCGCAATGAATGATGGTATATATTGCTTAATAGAAAACGATAAGTTAAGGTATTTTCATGAGGATATACCGTACCGAAAAACAATAAATTGTGGGCCAGCAGGTCCCTGCACCCACATACCACGGGAACAAGTCTGATAGACAAGTGCACACAACAGTCAAATCTCCCCTACTCGGATCGTCCACCGCAAGCCGTTCCAACTTCAAATTCTCCTCAAGTAGAGTGTTGGATCCCCAAAGAGAAATCTTCAGAAACCCACAAAGGGCCCATATGGCAAACCGATCTCCGGAAAAATCTCTCTCCTCACCCCCTCTTCTGCAGACTCCGGGCCACGCAATCCAGCGAACAACGCATCCCCGCAACCCATGAGAACCCCAATGACGCATCCTTCTCTTCCCTTCTCGTCCCTTCTCCCAACCTCCAACGCAGCCTTTCCAGTTGCACGAGTTCTATCAGGAGACTTTATTCGGTCCCTACAAACCCCCTCCCCCGCAAAACCAAAACTATCCCCAACGGTACTGAAAAGGACAGATACTACGTGAATTCAGATAGCAAAAAGAAACCAAGAAGAAGCTCTTCTTGTAACACCCAGGAAAAGAAGGAGAACAGATACCTGAATAGATGGAGAAACGGAATAACAGAACGAACCTTTGGCTGTTGTCAACTCACAATCTTTCCAATTCCATTGCGATATTTGTTGTTCAACGCACTCAACTCACGCTTTTTCGTTTCCCAGGAACTTCGCAAAGAACTTCGTCAGGAACTTACAAGATCAGGTTCGTACAGGCCCTTCACAAACACTTTCACACCCCTTTTCTCCAAAAGACCAGTCACAACAAGAACCCTAAATTCCATGCAAAGCCCTCAGCAAAAACAAACAGGCACAGGATACAACATCCAGGGCCTTTCCAGGTAAACAGAAAAACACTTGCACAACTTTTGCCTCCACAGTACCTATCTCGAATGGAAAGCTCTGGACAGTCCGCACCGACCGCTTGCCTACCCCGCCTGGTCCCCCACCGACAAAGCCAAAACTTCGTGAGGCCTCTATCATACCAAATCATCAGAGGGAGCAAACCCGTCAGCAGTCCCTGGACGGCTAATCTCGTACCGTATACAGTATCGAGGAGAGGATAACCCTTCCCAGGAACTTTTGTCCCTGGATCTGGAGATACAAGGCTTGAGATGGCAAATTGCCCAAGATTTAATAGTGATCTAATAGCATCTATAGCGGGTATATTGAGGGTGTATGGGCAACAGTGGATGATGTGATGTGCATCAACCTGAGTGAAGATATTGAGTGTTGATGGGTGATGATCCTTGGCGCAGTGCGCACCATTAGATATGAGGGCCCGGACGCCTGAAGGGCTTGAGGCTAGAGTGAGCAGTCACGTGTTGTTCGGAGTCATGTATCTAACTTGCGAGCTTGCTCCTCCCAGGAACAGCAACGAAGTTCCTTTCTCCTCCACCACCATCGTCTGTTTGTTGGTTCACCGATCCCACCTCACAACAGGGTAGACCTGCCTTCCGATAAGCTACCCTAAGCCTCACTTCACCCTTGTATCGTGACTTCCGGACCACTTTGGCTAGTCGCAATATGAAAAGTTGAAATATCGTGTATGTGTGGACCACTTGGTTCCCTGCGGGTCCAGAGCGATTCTGCATGTAAGGCGCCCCATTCCGATCGCCCCGGGTGCTTCACAGGGGCGCAACAAGACTCAATCTCTCCCCTCCAGGGCAGCGGATTGCGTGCCTGGGGTGTACGGCCTGTGTAGCGGAGATATTCATTACTAGAGCTCTCGGGTATGTTTGGGTGCTTCGCGGTTGGTGTGATGTACATGCGAGTTTTCGAGTCTTGTGGAAACAATAAAGAAAGAATTGCTCCGTAAGGGTATGGTTGAGCTCTGAAGATGGTTTTTATCAAGGCCTACTCAAATACCGGTATCGTTGAATAGTATTTTAGTCAACTTCGTTGTGGTAAGTAGTCAGCCACTGTCTGATCCCAAAGTGGCTAGGCGGTAATTAATAACACCTTAATCCCTCCCTGTCTTGCGTCTGCACCGTATGTACCTATAGCACCGGACGGTTGCCGGCGCGGATAACGCTCGCGCACATCCCTAGGGATTCGCTTCAAGTTGGTAGTCATGATATTAAAGATTCGGTGGGGGGCGATAATCCTGGGGCGGTTGGGCATCTTGGTGCTCCATGTGGGGGTGGCATCCCTTCACCTACGGCGGTGAGAGGGACAGAATTCCCCGACAGGGTCAGTTGAGAAATCCCATTTAGTGCCATTAGTGTATCCCACCAGTCCGAGCGGTTCTCGTATTTGCTCGATTGGTACGACTTAGCGGGGTGTCGGCTATGCTGTATTGCAAGAAACTGGTGGTTCTCCCTCGGGGGTCGGCTCGGCTACCTTAGTGTGAGTGGGGGGTGTGTCTGAAGTTGGGCCTTAGAAACTAACTTTACTAACTTACCAGCCTGTAGGAAGATTTGATATATTCCTCTCATCACTACAGGGCATAGCTCGACGTGAGCGTTGGCCAGGATAATAGGGATTTCAACCTCGAGGATGCAGAGTAAATTCAACAACCGGTATGATACTAAGCTTACATGTATATTGCATTCTTCCTGGTTGTGTGTCGTATTCGAGTATACCATAATATCAACAACTCCCTACCAGGGGACTCGAACCGATTAGTCTCTGTAGCGTTCCACTTACCGTACTGGAGCCCTTGCTGGTTCTTTTGTTTTGCACACAGAATTTCCATCCTTCCTTACCCTCTTTCCCCTCCCCTCCCTCCTGGGGCTGCCCCAATTTAGCCGGCGGCGGGAGCCCACTCCAAGCAAGCAAAGCAAGTAAGCAAAAAATAGAGCATAATGGTGGGTTGGGTTGTGGGAACAACGCAACAACCTTATCAAATCATCCAGACAGCACACGGTTTCTTTAGAGGACATTGCATAACAAAACCATTCTATGTGAGAAACTTTACCTGGGTTCATATCCACAAGCACTGTTAACACTTTTAATCCCCCGTCTGGTATGATAGCCACGCACATATGATAACATCTTTATCCTGCTCAGCATCACTTCCAAGATGGTACTCGAGTACATATGGTAGATACACTCTGCCTCCACGTCCTAGTTTACCTCTAAGCCAACAATACCTCCTTCCTTTTGTTTTTGTTTTTTTTACACCTAGCCCTGCTCTTTTCCCCCCTTTTAGCATGGTTTTTATAGCAGTAAGCATAGCGTCCGGTTCAGCTGATTAACTTTGTATAGGAACAGGGGGTAAAATTTCCCAAAGTGTCTTACAAATGCGAAAACCGCCCTTTCCAGTTCAGCGGGTGAACCCCAGCGAGAATTTAGGTGCCAAAGATGCAGTATTGTACGGTTCAGTGGAGTGTCCGGGACAGCGGGATCCGGGGCAGCGGGGTGTGAGTGTATACTAAACTATACTGTAGTTTATCTATAGCGGGGTCCTTTTGGATGTGGCATTCCGGGTTCTTTCCTGCTTCGGGGCTCATAGGGGTTAATTTTTGGCACAGAGAGTGAGTGAGAGAGAAGGGGTTCATTTCCAAGGCGTTGTGCTGCTTGGTGTGTGCTATGTTTATCTCCTCCCCTGAATTCAGCTGTAGTTGCAGGAGATTGGCCACCAGCAGCGGTCAGCTAGTGGTCTGGGTCCCGTTTCTTTTACAGATTGTCATTTGTATCCCCCGGTTTATTATGCTGTTGAATACACCCCGCTCCCCCCCCTCCCACCGGCCGCGCAGTAGAAGGAGCTCGTTAGCATGATCTGTGCTACTGCCATATTGACTCGGATAGTTTTGAATGGGTGGGGGAAACACCAAAAAAAAAAACAGAACAGACTGTTACTTCAACGGGAAATTTTGACCCGAGGTAAAGTTTCTCTTGACTACGTTACCGCGGTGCGGTGTGAGCCCTATGTTCGTGTTCAACCACGCTAATATATGGACTGGTATGTCCAGCTCCTTTATCCACTCTCCGCCCTCTGCATCAATTCTCTCTCTGGCACCACATTCTTCTTCAGGTTATCGGCAATCATCGGGTGACCGTATGATGTGTTCTGCTTTTCACTAGTATTCAACAAATCTCTGAATTGACCCCTGAGGGGAGCTTCAATTACAGATATAAATTCGCCAATCGTTCGATACCGCATAGCCTTCACAGAAAACACCTCTGCGTGCGTTTCACCTGCTCTCGGCCTTGGAAATATCTAATGCTACACGGAATACTCTGTTCAGAGTGCGAGCTGCTGGTGAAGGTTCTATGGTTAGCAAATTGTTTAATGTCGGCAAACTCCATAACCAGGTTCTTCATACTTTCATTACTGTGAGCACCAGAAGTAAGGAAAGGAAGGAAAGGAACTGCTCTCTGTATTTCCCCGCTGCCACCACCACTATATAAAAGGGAGAATGCTAAGCCTCTGGTTGTAGGTCTCCCGAAACCCTAACAGTCACATGAGGATAGCCTCAGTACAAACCACTAACAATCACCACTATTATACGGAAGAGTGTTCACTCTCTTTGCTTGCTCATACGTACTGGATAACTACCCACAGCTGTTGCCATTCGGCACAGTATTCATTCTGTGTAAAACTCCGAGCCCTCTACTTTCCTTCAAGGCCTTTCAGACAGGTGTACAACATAAAATCGTACGGAAGCTAGGCAAGGCTGGAAGTTTGCAGTCAACTCCTTGGCCACATAAGCGACGCAGGGACAGGGGGGGCAGTTGATAGTAGCAGTAGACTGGCCACCGAAGTGTAGATTTTGTTGTGATTGCTTCCACCATCTCAAACCATCACTCCCTTCAGCCTCAACAGCAACCCCTCCTACCCTACCAACTTAGGAAGCCAATTCATTATGAAGGTACCAGCCATCGACCAGGTTTTGTTAGAGAGAGCCAAGAAGGTGCACTGCATGGCAAGATACATATTTCACTATCTATTGAGCGTTGGGACTTGTATTTCCCCTATCATGATGCCATGCATGCCTGTGTGAATGGAAAACTAAACAAGTTCCAAGACTAGACCAAGTTATCAATATAAATAAAGAAACAGCTTCCCTTGATCCCAGGTTTATACCCACACGGAAGGACCAGCTATGGCGCCTGTACTGTTGTCTCTTATATCCATCTGACAAAGTGCGTCTTTTAATCCATTGAGCCAATAAACGTGTCATTTTCAAGGAAGCATGTCAGTGACCCAAAGTACGTATCCCAAACCCCCCCCCCAAAAGAAGAATGACCAAAGGAAATCTGGTCCGAATATATAGACGAATATTCTAATCCGACGCGAAATAAGCAATGCTCAAGTATGCCCGTTCCACCCCAAAAGAAGATATTACATAATATTATGCAAGGAAAACTAATTAACGGAGAAATCACCGTATTATAACATACAAGATGCAAGCGAAAGGCAGACTGTATGCATGAGTAGAACGCAAACAAGTCGAGGTTGAGGGAAGCCTCAGTAAGTCACGTCAGTATCATAATATCGCAGCATATAAGCAAAGTCAGACTTCCTTTTTTAGCTTACTAATACAGTGACATGCCCATGGGCTGACCCCTTGAGCCGTGTCACTCTCTCTCACTCGCCTCGGTTGGAGGAACACAGTCAGCACACTAGCCCTTTTTGTCTTTGGACTGTTTTCCTAGTCTGCATAGAATTATGTACCACTTTGAGGGACTTCTTTTTAGCACATATCTTCAATGCAAGGGCTTGATGCCGCACTTTCGGTGCTGATCCCAATTGCATATTGGGGTCATTACAAAGGTGTGGGAAATTTCTGCTTGATCCTGCTTGATTGGGTTACAAGCCGATACCTTGCAGGAAGCGTACAGCAAAGAAGGTTAGCATGCCTTTGTGAGATATGGCACCATTCATGCCCATCCTACTGAAGGATCAGCTGTTCTTGAGCTTCCAGAAGTACCTTCCGCCATGACAATTCTTGAGAGCATTCCCTTTTTTTTTTCTTCTCTCTCCCTTTCTCTAGTGGATCCGGCGCTCTCTATAAATTCTTGTATAGAAGGTCACAACATCGTCAGATTCTTGATTCCAATCAAGATAGAACAATAGGGTTTCCGCTCATGAAAAGCGGCGAATACCCCGAACTGTTCCCCAGGACATTTATCCCCCTCCCACGGATTATCCACATCACAAACCCATGAGTGAGTATGTATTCCAGCCCTCAATTGAACCAGACGAATCCTCCCGAAAACCGGTCCGGGCAAAACATACAAGTGCAATTCTTGCGTCCTACACCACTTGGGGTCACCGGAGATGAACCCATCCGCTGATTACATTTGCTGTCCGATCACCGAGAAAAAAAAAAGTTTCATAATGGTGTATTTCTTTTTCTTTTTTTTTTCCCTTCCGTTTCCTCCCCTTCCCGCATCGAACCAACCAAAACTCACATCAAACTGAAACCACGGCCAAGCCCGTTCACTTCGTTTTGAAAAAGTTGGATGGAGCGCGGGTTAAAAATACACCTCCCTTACCGAACCCCCGTTTCTGGAATTCTCCCTGTGGTGCCCATCTCATGACGACCCCGCCCGTCATCCATCCCCTCACCCCCCTCCCCCCTTCCCTTCCCTTCCCTCCAGTGAACCGGACAAGTAAGCGCAAGTCGAGCAACGGGTATTAGGAGATGAAAAAAACGTGACAAATTAGAGCTTCCCATGGCGCCTTCAGGAAAAAAAAAGTGATCGTTTACCGTGATTCCTTTCATCCAACCAAGCCAACCGAAATCAAAATCTGCGAGTTGCTCTGCAGAGTGTACTCGTAGTAGCAATTTTCATATCAAAGACTTCTTATGATTGGAGCAGTTGTGTCCAGTTCACTGGCCCCATAAGCTCCGAGTCTAACCACCAATTGTTCCCACCGGCTTAATCCCGGAATACAGAAAGGGCTGACAAGTTTCAGCTCTTCACGCCTCCCATGTACTGTACTGTACCTCTTAGCCTCCGACTAAGGCAGTGCGGAGTACCCGCGGACGTGAGCGTTCCCGTGAGAGCAGAAACCAGGTAACCGCTCTGGACGCACCACAGCGGACCTGCCGGGGCACATTCTTGGGAAACAGTGCAGAATTTAAGCGTTGTGTTGCGGCGCACGGGTTTTTTTATCACTCGACGGGACGCTATCTTATCTAGAGTATTATCATGACGATGATACGGTGATCGAGTTTCAGTTCCCCGGTGAGCATTCCCAGCAAAAAAACACCACAATATAACACATCCTACCAAAATCGAGAAGTGAAAAGAAAAAAAGAGTGGGGAAAGAAAAAAAAAAAAAAAAAATGCGGGGGCCAATCGCGGAAAGCGCGGCTATGGTATAAAACTTCTAGTGGCCACAAAATCATATCACCGGTGCCGAAACTATTGTGGCCTTTTGAGCAGATGTGTTGTCCAATCTTATCATGCACCCCGGACGGGGGGGCGCCTACCGTAGGTGGTTGTTTTTCGAAATTGTTGGATCAACTTTCGTCATAGTATCTCACTCACTTCCTAGTTACACAGCAAGTTTCCGGTGTATGTTTGTCGGGCACGTAATACTAACCACTCAGTCCCTCAAAAGCGCGCAGGAGAACGGTGAAATAGGTCTCAGTTTAAAGGCCCTCGTAATCCATAAAGATACTTCCCAGTTCCCGTAATTCCCTCGACCAGTCTTCCTGACGGACTATGCGATAGAGCTGACTAGATGTCGGCGTGGGTCAAAGCACCGCTCCGATATACCTGTATATATATATATGTGTGTGTGACTAACCGGTGAGATACCCCTCAGTTTGCTTACGAGTGGAAGCGCGCCTGTGGTCTCTGCTTCCCAAAGCTACCCAACAGGAGGTGGGATTCTAGGGACTCCGTGTTACCTGTATGAGGCCCGGTATCCTCTACGGTAGTTTTCCACTACGGGGCACAAAAGCAAAGAGGGTACGGAGAACATGCAAGCTTTGAATAAACTTTTCGTAAACTCTCTCCCTGTCTCAAATATCGTACATGCCCTATTTTTTCGGTCGGGTCACAAGGACATCCGAGTTGGGGCCGGCGGCTCAAGACCGGAGCTGTTCAAGCGCGGCGCTCTTGCGAAGATGTATGATGCTGTTATGAATATTGCCTGGCATCCTCTTTGTAGGGCTCGTTCGGGTCTACCCCCCCCTCCCTTCTAACGAAACGGAAGCCTTGAGTTTGAACCCAGGGCAACGGACCCCACGCAGCGGACTCACGGGTAATACGACCGAGCGGTGTTCCGAGATCAGAATCTTCTATAATAGGGGTATTGAGGTACAATATGCCGGGGTTGTCCCCCCCCTCCCTTCCCCCGTATATCGCAAGGCTGCAGGGTTTTTTTTTCCATAGTCGGTGCCGGGCTGGGAAATAACACCGCGAATTGTTCCCCAAGCACTTATATCCCTTTCACCAAGAATAGAGCCAACCGCGCGGCGCTATACGAGTTGGAACCTGGGAACCGGAGAGAATGTATATCGCAGAGAACAAGCAAGTTTCCCATTGTCGAGATCTCACCGTCACAACATGCGTATTATAAATATTTATTCTAACGAAATGATATCAATGCAACAACTTCAATGCAGAGCACACATAATCTCTGAAGGCTACCGCGGCCGAGAGTCACACGCGTGGGAAAAATGGTCACCGGGCGATCGCCTCCTCGGTTTTCGGGAATGGCGATTCGTCCATGAAATGTCTACGGTATCACCCCCCCCTCCAAGCGAGGGGCATTCCATACGCGGGAAAATGAGAGCGCACCATACGATAGTCCGTGCATTCCAGTACCGGTACCGTATCATACCGCAATGCATATTTTCGCACGTGTTACATTACCGGTAGTTACAGTATCAGCATTTCTGTTCCGCCATGCAAGCCCCGTTTAACGCCATCCGTTTTTCCACAACTTTCTTCTCTTGCTTCGAACATGCCCACCCCCCCCCCCCCCTCCTCTCTCTCCACCGGCAATACTCACTAACTGTCACTCGATCTGGATTCCAGGCTGTTGATTAAATATTTATGCATGCAATCCGCTGACCATGTCCACCACTTTCATATAGATTTCGCCAAGTAAAAGGATAAGGAAGGTGGTGGTGGTGGGGTGTGGTGGAAGCGAAGGGCGCACCCGCCACCGCCTGCCGACCAGAATTTCACGGACTGAATCGGGCCCCGCGCGACGAAAATGAGAATAATATCCACCACCGTAGCGAGTGAGTGAGTGAGTGGCGGACGGATAAGCATTGAACCGCTGCACGCTCTTTCAACTTCCACGAGTGCATATACTCGAGACACAGCAGAGAGTACCTTTTCGATACCGGGTTATCCAGTCCGATAAGCCGCGCTTCCCCGATTATGCAGCTAAGGCTTTCTCTGGGGCCTTGTGAGGTTATGCAATGCGGGTAGGACGAGAGCTGTGTGCTGTACGGGTACTGTACTCGTACATGTACGTACAAGTGCAGACCCTCTTGTTCGGAGAACATGATTGAACCACACTGAGACATTCTAGATTTCTTTCCTTCCTTTCCACAAGGCCTAACGAGAAGTTTAGGCTTTTTTAAAACGATCGGGGCTGCCATCAGCTTTTTTTGCGGACCACTTTACGATACGGTAAATCGTCCAATGAGAACTACGTGGTTGGATACGGCTATCACTATCACTATCAAGCGAATACTTCAAGGTGGGCCCCATCGCGGGGTTTGGACAGAGTTACGAGTATTGGTACTGTACCGGTACGAGCACCAGAGCAAAGGACTCTCTCCTTCAATACAAGAGGACAGTGCTGTACTGTACCGTACCCATGCGAGGGAAGGAGGCACACTACAGGAATCCAAAAAAGCAAAGAAAGCCCTCATCGGTGCACAAAAGGGGGAGATGGAGTGGTGTTACAAACCGTAGCTCCCTTTTTTCTTCTTTTTCTTTTCTAGAGGGTGGAGGGTGGGCGCAGTCTCCGATTGGCTGACTAGCCGCCGATACTATTTTTCTGTTCGGGCTGAAAATAGTTTTTACCCCGACGACTTGGGACGAGCGGTAGGAGCCTCAACCTGCCCTCCTCAAGCTGTGCTCGTACCGGTACTTGTAGCGAGTGGGTGGCAGCCCTGCCGTTTTGGATGGGTTTCGTTTCTTTCTTGGAAGGGTGGGAAAAACAGCCATAACGAGATTGGGTATGGCTGTGCTAAGGAAGGCATGTGAACGTGATGATGATGATGATGACAATGATGATAATACGAAAAAAAAAAAAAACTCCGTACTCTTGAACCCCGTGAAAAACCGTCAGGAAAAATAAAAAAGATACAAGAACTCGTCAGCGATAAGGGAGGATTAAGGTTGTTCCCCAAGGGGAAGGGTGGGGGGGGGGGGAAAGAAAGCTATAGAAAAAGGAAACTATAGACAAAGTAAACCACTCATCATCACAGCTGTAGCACGATATGGAAAAAATTAACCATTTGATGAACATCTTGATATGATAGGAGGAGAAAAGAAAAGAGATATACAAGATGCTTGTGCAAAACCTAGTTTGTCCAATACAGGGTTACTTCTTTCCTCCTCCTCCTCCTCCCCCTCGTTTAATTTTTTTGCCGCAAAGGAAGGAAGGGCTGTCGCTGGATCTGGGCTCCTGCCGGAGAGGTACCGCCGGACGATTCATGGCCAAAAAGGTGAATAAGGAAAAAAGAAAAAAGAAAAATAGAAAGGGAGCCACCAACAGAGGGAAGGAAACATTGCGCCGTTACAGTCCTGCACACACAAAGGAAAAGAAGGGATCAAAAACAAGACGCGAGGCTGAAGTTGAGGGGAATTACGCCTAGTTAGAAAGGAAAGAGGAGATACAAAATGATTGAGAGCCGAAATGACCAAGATAAGCGAACCGGGTAAAACGAAAGGGACGAGGTGTGCTTTCCAAACGGTGTAGTGGCGAGGGAAAGAAAATAGCTTCGCTGTTTTAATCGATCCGCCTTCTCTTTCCCTTTGGCGCCGGCATGAGACTCATTCTAGGCGTAAAGGTAACCGTGGTCGTTACAACCTGCTTCACGGTAACCTGTCGCTGACCTTGCCTGACTTCACCCTCGACTTCCTCATATGACGGTGATCTCGATGTAGATGATGCTGGACTCTCAGTCGACGGTGAGCAATTTGATGAAGCTGGTGAAGCAGGAATCTTTAGTCGCCGTGCAGCGGCATATGGGGTGGTAGGTGTAGTATAGTATCCATAAGACTTTCCCAGATCTGGTGGTGGAAGCCTGGGAGATTGAATGGCTGGGCTCGAACCAGTATTCTTCAGGAACTCTGTGTATGCCGCCGGTGGTGTGATCGGAGTCTTCAAACTTTCCTCATGCGACTTTAGACCTTCAAAGTGGCCATTTATAGGTGTTCGCGGGATCTCCGAAGGAAGCGGGGAGAAAGGCGCCCTGGAGCCCGTTGAATTGGAATTGTGAGCAGTGGAGAGAGATGCCGGGAGAGTGGAAGGCATGGTGGAGACTTTGCTCTGCTCTGCTCTGAGGCTGCAGGATAGAAGAGTAGCGTTGAGGTGGGCGAGGGGCTGAAGTAGTAGACGCTAGATGGCTAACCTTTTATTAGTTTTTTTAGTCTGGGAAGCGGTGAAGCTGCGGGCGTGGATATATATCGGCAACGGGAAGAGAGTGGTGGGTGGGAAGGGGAAACAATTTAAGGAACCTCCTCCCTATCTACCCGCCCCATGGTGGGCAGACAAGAGGGGGGTGGGTTGTGGGAGGAGGAAACCCAAGCACACACACACACAACACAATCCATGAAGCAGAGCTGGCGCAGCGACTAACGAAAAGGATGGGACAAAGAAGGAAGTAACACACCAACGCGCTTCGTGCTGTAGCACCGGATTGTTGAATGGCGAAAGCTTGGGAACTAACAGCAGGCGGGACGAGCGGACAGGAAAAACAAAAAACGAAGGTGCATCAACGAATGATACTTAGTTTTTTAGATCAAAAATCCGGGCACAGGACTTTTCTTAAATATCCAGGGGTGGGAAGGGAGCTCGACAAACGAGAGCTGGGCTGGGTTGCGCGCAAATTGGGGCCAGCTTTTGCCAGTGCTGCAGGAAAGAAGGGAAAAGCGAGCGAGGATCTTTTGGCGCAACCCAAAGCAGGTATGCGGGGTGGTACTATTCCAGGACACACATCGCAGCGCAGCACGGATGGGGGGGGGGGGGGTGGAAGCCGAAATAAAATAAAAAAAATGAAAAATACAGGAAAATAAAAATGGAAAATGGGGGACGGAAAGGAAAGGAAAGGAAAGGAGGAAAACGTGGTTTACAGGGGTGGAGGGGGCGAATCAATCAATCCATCTCTCCTCGTCCGACAATCCAGAAACCTCTTGGTACTACGGATGGTAGCAGGAAGGTAGGCGAAGAGATGGGATCTGCGAGCTCGACTCGATCCAATTCGGAAACTTGGTGCGTAACTATGGCATTTGAGAATGAGTGGGAAGTCGTTTAAGTGTACCGGGCCGGTAGTTGACTTACGATACAAGTGCTGTGGTGTACCTATCACCGCAACATGGCCTACCGTACCGTGCGATATAAAAATGGGAACGGCACACGGGACTGAAAATGCCTGTCCGGCAGACCACCTATCCCCCATCATTACCGCCTGTGCTATAGGAGAGCTCGGTATAAACCTCAAACAATGCCAGCCTATCGTGTGATGATACTCAACATCTACAGTCTCAGAGTAGAAACAGACGGAAAAACAAATACTCTCTTACTTCCTTCCCACGAACCTGTTACTCGGTATCCATACTAATTCGATACGAGACTCGTACCTCCCATCCCTCTGCCTCCCATCCCTCTGCGAGATGTCTCAGCTATCATACCCTGGCCTGACGACGAGGGGGGCAGCGGTTGCTGGTTCTCATAGCGTTGTACTGGCACAGTACCGGTACTCGAGTACTCGAGCACAAGTACCGGGCATTAATTACAAGAACACTTGAGTCCGAATTTAGCATGGGCGCTCAGATGCGCGCAAGGTGATACAGAATTTTGGATCCCTGGGTTCGGGTATCATACTTCATGCCTACTTACCGGCCTGTAAGGTCCAATACTTGGTGCAAAATCATGAACATCCCGGACGAGCATAACCGTCCAAAGCCGCCGACAGAAGCGAGCGCGAGCTGTGAGGGGCGCCGTGCAAAAAGTTTTGACAGTATCATGGGACTCCGAAATTTGATCTACGTGGGCGCCAAAGCTTGCCGGTTTGGTCTTTAGCCCGGGAAGGTTGGTTGAAATGATTGGGGGTCCAACAGGAGCGATCCCTTTAGGTTTTGCACTCACTCTGGGGCAACTTGGCTAATTACTATTATACTGCTGTATGCGCGTGGAGGTGCCGGATTGCTGGATTTATTGAATCATTGGGTGCAGTAGCAGGATATGGATGAGCTAGTTGGAATTTAGCCTGGATTGGATTGGATGGGATTGGATGGAAGGGATGGATTAGTGTATATACCGCGCGCCTAATTCGTATTGTATGGATGTATCATATCCGATCTAGTGAGTGAGTGGAGTTGACTGGAGGAGAGAGTCTGTGTATTAAGATTTTATCCCGGGATACCGTAGCCCATGTGTGTTCGGGTGCCGTACCGCACTCGAGTATCGGTATTGTATATCACTGGGCCGCGGGTAATAATTACGACTGGGGTACCGGTAGCCCACTGCCGGGGGGGGGGGCGGAGAGCATCGTGGGTGGCTTTAGTGCTTGTAAACGATAGGATCGAGGAAACTGGGCCGCGGCGGGCCAGAAGAGAATGTAACGGTGGGTAGACCTAGATGGGCTCCGGGTGACATGGTGGTATCCGAACTTATTGTAAAATAGCCTCCGGGTTCGTGCCAAGACGGGATCTACTCGAGTACGCTAATAGGGACACTCATTCCTTGAATTTTGCAAAGAATCATTCGGAACTTAGGATGCGCTCGGTTTGGCTCGCTGCGGTACGGTGGCCTCTTGATTATTGATCCCTTGTACCGGTACTCATACAACTACTCGAGTATTTCGTACCACAACATAATACCTCGCCAAACACATCGCGATTCAAGACATGGCTGGGGGCTGAGCCGGGCTTTTCCTTATTTCCTTCCATAATTATTCCTTATTCCACGCAGAGTGTCGACACCGCCACGACGCCTCGATCTTGTCTCGCCTTAACGCGATATGGTGCCTTGATGGCGGCGCAGGGCTTTAAATAAAGCTTTCGCTTGCGATAGGAGAGGAGAGGGGGTGGTATTGGTGATGAGGGAGTGCAGGCTGGTTCGGCCAATCAGAATTGTTAGGTTTGGGTTTTAGGTGGGCGGTTGGAGAGAACGGGGTATGGGGAGGGGAAAGCAGTGTGGGGTCAGTTCGTGCACTAGGGACCGCGTTAAATTGTGCAGGTATGGTTATGGTGGAGTTGGTGACAGCTGCACTATCGGCACTGGAGATAAGTGAGTTGTGGGCTACCTACCATCTGTTGGTTGACCGTTAAGTTAGTCTACTGATTCGGCAATGCATGTCATCACAAAGGGGGTGGGGATTCACTGTGGTCTCAAGAATAGAGTTTGCATGGTTACCGTCTTTTGCAAGAAAGCACAGTATGAGCACCGGTACGAAACCCCCTATTAAGAATCTGGCGGCTTCTCATATTTGGCTTACGCTAATGTACAGCACTGTGACTACCGCACATTTGTCTCCAACAGAATACCGCATTATCAAGCAAGATTCGCCTGCGACCGATACGTTGAAATAAGAGTTTTTTTTCGCCGCAATCTCTCTCAGATCGCAAGAAACCGCCTTCACTTAGCCCTCTTAGCCAAAATCGGGGCTATTCTTGACTCTTCCTGACTGTATCGAATGTTTTTCTTTCTTATTCCACTTCTTCGGTGCCAAAGTTATCTCGACGTGCTAGCCGCAGCTGAATCCCGCTAGAAAGTGAGGCGGGTGGACCACAGCGTAGGTACGACCTTGATTAACAAACTAACTTTTGCACGTATCGTACTGTAAAGTACGGTGCACACACATGCGCTGGTGTGATGGCCTACTGTAGTCTAATTCGGATCGTGATTTCAGCTTTACATTAGGCTACTTGTTACTCACTGCGGAGTAAGCCCGCTTACTTCACCACATGGTCCACGATGAGGTGGTGACGCGGTAGCCTGCGGGTGGTTCCCCGGTTCGAGGTCCACGCAGAGCTTAAACTTTGCTCACCCAGATTATCCAGGATATTTTCCAATTGGTGATGATTCTGTAGCGCTTCCCGGATTGACATATGCCTAGAATGTGCATTCGAGGGGTTGCGGACCGACCTGCTTGCAGCCTGCACGGAATTTGTGGAGGTAAGCTTTGGCCTTCATGCGGCGCGGCCGGGGAAGTTAAGTTATTACGGTATCAATTTCCTGCTATTCCACCATCTGGGCGATACTTTGTTCGAGATCCCCCCGCGATTGTAGATGGGGTTGGCGCGCCGCTTAGCATATCACCGTGCCTCAAATTACCTTGTGCGCCTTTGGTTACTATATTGCGGTCAGGGTAAAAAAACAAAAAAAATATTCCCTACAGGATGCCGATCTGTATGCTGATTTCCTGCTTGCTTGATTTCTTGCTGACGGCCTCATCTGTCGGTGAGTGGGAAGTGTCTATCATACTCACCGTAGGCTTTCGTTTGTTTGGTGTGTGGAATTTCATGCTATCTTAGCATCCTTGCCTGCCATATCTTCACGGTGCTACCTATCTATAGTATGCACCTTAAGCGGTGAAGAGACCGACTGTCTAATCGCAGGAAGATAAAACGTGGATCGTGGAGAAAATGGGGAATCTACTTCCGTCTATTGGATGGCTTGTGGCGCAGATCTCACGGCTCGCAAGGGGTGGAGGGGGAGCGGAAGGGGGTGGAGAGAAGGTGAGTTTTGAATGCGCGCCTAGGTAGGTTAGTGAACGGGAAAGTTACTCAGGTATTAGGACTAGAGATCTGCTTCGTAGGTAAGTTATCGAGTATTAGGAAAGAAGGGGAATAATACGATGTGTCTCCGAGAGGTTGAAGTGAAGGTTGTTAGACAATTGCTTATGTTCTGCGTAACGGGAACGGGGATGGGACGGGAAGGCCGACCGGTGGCTTGGGTAAGTAATGTAGGAACTAACTACCGAACCATCCTCTTCTGGTCGACCTAATTTATCGTGCTGTACGAGCACTGTAATACTGGTATATGATGATCCAGTACTAGTAGTGTACCTATCAGCTCAGTGCAGTACGGTACTGCACTGTTACTGTACTTTGTATACTTGGAGTACTGTACAAGTAGCTAACCACCACACCATAATAAGCACTCTGGCTTTCATACAGCACCCTGCCATACTTCTTTTCTTTTTATTCGTGCCAAACCCCGGTACTTTAGAAAAATGGTGGAATATTCCAATCCCACGGAAGATAACCTAACCCTGTCGTCATCTTTGTGTACTGAACGACCCGTGGACCTTCCCATCTGCGCACCTATTGTAGGGAATCGATTAGATGTGCCGGGTTTACCTTTGAAGGGACAAGCGAAAGAGGGAAGGTAGCTGAGTAAACAAGAGACTAGAGACGTTTGGGGTTTCCTGTCGGGGGGGGGAGGGGTAGTTCATGGCATTGACGGTGGTACGCGCTCCCTCGACAAGTTTGTTCTTACGATGTCTCAAGTGGGTTGGAGAGAGAGAGAGAGCCGTGGATGCGAATTCTGGAGCAGCGATAGCAAGTGGCGTTTAGGTTTTTGATGTGAGTTTTCGTTTGTGTTGCCCGTTTGGTAGGTGCGGGGGTAGTTAGGTCATGAAATCGTAAATTGGTATCATACATGGAGAGGTGAATGGATGGATGGATACGAATGACGCAGGAGCTGTTTCGGGCGGCAGCTGAAGCAAAGCACTGGCCTGATCTGACTTGAATACCGGTATACGTACCGTACCGTGGGTTTATCCCTTCACGGAGTTCTGGTACCGGTAGGTTGAACATTGTACGTCTTTGGAACCTCGGCCCATAGAGGATACGCCTGAAC